TGTAATCAAAAACCTATGCTACTTTATGCCAACCACGCATAGTTATACTGCAAAACAATTTTTTTACAATATTCGGATTGAACAAAATAAATTTTTGCGATTAGCGACCTCTTCCAGTATACAATATTATCCAATTACACATGAAAGGCCCTATATAAATTTGAAATTTGATGTTATTTTAACGCAGTGGTACTCAAAATTTTTCAATTCTTGCAACATCAAGTTCCTCTATGACAAATTAACTGTTAGATCTTAATATTAACTTAGCAACGTGTCTGAACTTCGTCTCGGATGTAAAATGGATAACGTTTGGCGGTTTTAAAGTCCAAGTTACAGAAGGGACCGAGGTTAATTTGGGATTTCTCTGATTGAATCAACACGTGTTGTAAGGGCCACCTGCTTAGAAAACCGAGGAAAGGTCTAAACTTGGCACGTGCGACGCTGAGAAGGGAAGACGAAGGGTTGCCTCGACAGATGAATAATCTTTTTATAGTCTTTTTTTGCTCCCTCAAAAGGCATCAAAATTGAAAATGAAATAGTTTAAAAAAAATTGATGAAAACACCTGAAAATCTAGTATGAACAGTAACGATTATGGCGAGAGTCTTGCACCTTTTTAAAGTAAAACAAATTCTAAGATAAAAATTATTTGAAGCTTCACTGATTGTGAGTTCGAACGTAAAAGTATACAAGAATTCACATATTTCGTTAAGCAGCATAAAGCATGTTGTATATTTCGTACAAAATTAATAAATATTCCAAACTAAACGAAAGAAAAGCTGATATCAAAACAAAAAAGATCATTTTTGATTAACAGAGGTTGACTCCTCCTTGATCAAGACCCGTTTCATATTGTTACTAAATTAAACTTATCCTGGAAATATTCCAGTTTTGATTCCGTTAAAACAACTTAATATAACAAATTTCAATTAAATTTAAAATTTTCTTGAATTTTTATAGGCATGTCTTGAAAGATATAACAGTTCCTGTGTTGTTGTTTATTCTAGAGTTAATTGGCAATTGTACGTATTAACAGCTTTTTCTGGAAGGTCATTGCTGATTTTTAACGAATATTGGTTGGACGGGTGGATATCAGTGGAGTCTTCATGCCATCATCAGTGAATCGAGAGCAGCAGTTTAGACGGGTGGATATCAGTGGAGTCTTCAAGCCATCATCAGTGAATCGAGAGCAGCAGGTTGGATCCTTAATAATTAAACCTTATTCGCTTATTTTGTTTAAATTGAATTATCAATTGCAAGGAGAATGTCTGAATTCGTCTCTGGTCATTCTTTATTCAGGCTGGTTTTGTCAGTTAAATTTATTTCGGCATTTCGCCATCTTTCGGTGGTTGGCCTGCTTTTCCTCAGTCGTTTCGGTTTACATGTACGTTTATTGAACTTAAAAACCCAACTACAATCCGCACAAGTATCAAAAGCCTTAAAATCGGTAATGCTGCAACCAGACATTGCTCTTCTTCACAAAGTAAGAAGTCAGCGCCTTTGCCTTGCCTCATCCTGCTTATATCCCTACTATCATTCCGTCCAACTGTGTTTTACGGTGCGTAGACATTGCAAACTAAAAAGCCAAAAAATGTTGCTATTGTTAAAAAATTGTTTGGGGGGCAAAGGCAATTTGCAAGAATAGTTGCAAACCAGGAGTCAGAGACGTATTATCATTAAATCGATATATTTTCATATTTTAAATAATATATATAATATTTCAACCTTTTCTTTCAGGCTTTGTATTTCATTAATAAGAAATGTATATTTACAATGTACAAAGTTTAGATTTTTGTGTGTTTAATATCTCACTCGGCGTACTTTTTGTTAGGGGTTTTTTCAGAGTCTTTTTATACAGCTGTACCCAAAGGTCTGCCCACTGTCCCATCAACGTTCGAAGCTCACTTCCGAATCGGAATTACTTTTTACAGTTCGACTTCCTATTTGGTTTTGCCCCTAATGAGTGCTGTCAAGGTGTGTTACTATTTAGAGACATCCTGGATGTCAAGAGGGGAAGAGTAGCTACTTGTTTGATACCAACGTGTCAAGGCACGTGTAGACACCATGTGCATCAACCACGGCACACTCCCTTTAAATCAATCTACCGTCCAGAGCTGGGTAGAACGTGCTACCCTTCAACCGCTGATAGCTAAAAAATCGATCTGTACAAGTTGTGTCTCATAAGTATGTCTATAACTATTCTTGTTGTATTTTCATATCTCCTATATACATAAATAATAACAAATAACATAAATAATTAAATATTTCAGGAAAAGATGTAAACAATTTTTTAAATTCTTGGATAATGAAGTGTTGGCATAATTTATATATATTTATAAGACCATTATGTTTAATGGTCTGATGGACCAAATTACTTCTTTCAATTAATTCTTTGTATGTAAGGTCTTGATTGAAATGAAAAAGTTACCGTTATATATTTGTAAGTATAATTTTAATTAAAATGTGATTTACAAAAACATTTAAACTAGTTTCAACTTCTGAATTTCTCTCCCGAACAAAAATTACGTAATTATTTTATTTTACAAGCATTTAAAAATCATTAAAGTGTGTTCAATACTTTATCATAGATGGAAGCAGTACAGTTATTCAGACAAACTGACAACCAAAAGACCTAGAAGGGGTCGGAGGGGTGATGCAGTCAGTGATAGCCAGAGGAAACCGTGTGCGTCCGTTTTTGCAGGCTGAGAAGGACCCATAGCCTTCCGCATCTCGGCCTGGGGGCTCTGCGATAACGTAATTAGAGTCAGCGAGGTTCCCATTTTATCAAATGTGTAGATGTCAACCATACAATGTCACCGTCGAGGTGAAGGGGGAAAGTGATACCATTATTAAAGTTCGTCACTTCAGTTGAGGAACCTTCCTGAAAATGTTTGCCTCACTGCTGTGGTCGGCCATGTTTTATGGTTGCATGGTCTATTCTTCAGCCCGAAACAGGCGCCTACAAAAGCTCGATAGGCTATCAGGGGTCTCTGATCGAATAGAACAGAACGTGCTGCGAGCTTGGAGAGCTGCCGTCCAAACGTCGGAGAGAGCAGCTTACCCTGAGTTATGCGGCGGGGTTCCTGGCTAAACTGAGACATCCGCTTTCGGATGCGATCCTTAGATGCCAGTACAGCATGTATTCTATACGAGCGACTTCAGACCCGGATATACCACTAGGAATATGCTTCGGTGATACCTTAGGGTGACACTAGGAACGGTACTCGAGCTGGGCAACCGGCCATACACATCCGGGACGATCTCGCCGTGTTCTCTGCCATACCTTTAAGGTCTTCACAGACGGGTCTAAGGTCGGCGAAGGTGTGGCTTGTGGGTATTGTCATTTCATGGTCGCTCCCACCTCACTATGTTTGTTTACACGGCTTAACTGTGTGCGATTTGGCACGGGATTGTAGTGATCTGGCCAACGACACCATTGCCTACCTAGTCTGCACCAACTCCCTCAGCGCGGTTACTGCTGTTCGTAACAAATCCACCGTCGTTCCTCTCGTTATACTCTTCTTGGAGAGATACCATGAACTGGGCGTCTCGACAAAACGGTGGTTGTTGTCTGGGTACCCGGACTCATAGGTCTGGAGGGTAAATAGGCGGACGAGGCAATTCGCCCCTCTGACGCTAAAAATGTAATAAAAAAATAATTGTGAGAAAGTGGCAGCCTCTGTAGGCCGGCTGCCATTTTGGTTAACAACTATATATAACGAATTTTGGAAGTTGGGCGGCATAATTGCATTGGTTGACGGATTGTCTTAATAACTTAAAAGATCAGATTCAGATTGTATAATCTCAAATCTACACATGTAAATTCAACATTAACCTTAACTTAAATTTAAAAACCAAATGCCAACCAGTCTTTTAAGCCATATGATAATGCTGTCAAACCTCCACACAATCGTTCAATCAACCCAATTATTCAGCCAAACTACCAACTAATGCTTGAAGCAATATGATAATGCTGCAAACCTTCACACAATCTTTCAATCAACCAAATTATTCAGCCAAACTACCAACTAATGCTTGAAGCAATATGATAATGCTGCAAACCTTCACACAATCTTTCAAGCAATACAATTATTCAGCCATTCTACTAAGTAATCAATCCTTGAAGCAACATGATTATGCTGTCAAATTTCCAATCGATCTTTTAACCAACATAATTATTCAGACCAGAGCTTAGCCCTCTTTAAGCTAACAATTATTCAACCTTCGGGCTTGATCTGTGAATTGTTGAACTTAATAAATGACAGAACGTGTTTGTCGATAAACCGTGATAATCGGCTGGCCAGGATGACCAAAAATAAACAATACTGTTAAATAATAAATAATTATGTAATAATCTATTCTTTGTTTCGTATAGTGCACTACGATTTTTTAAATTAAAAACATGCTTTTAATTTATTATATTCAAGATTTTTTTTCAGCTGATTCAGCCATTCAAAATCGATAAATATTGACACATGATTTCTTTTTTCTTTTTTGGCATACTGATTTGAATTTTAAAACTTGGAAGAATAATACTAACGATTTATCAATTAAACTGGGCATTAACAATTTAGTGTTAAATCCGATTGAAAATTTAGAACGATAAAAATGTCTAAATGTCACAATATTATTATTTTCCACAATGAGAATTTTAAAATTAAGCTCGCTCAACAAAATACAATGAAGAATAGGGAGATATTCTTTTCTCAAAGCCTATTTATTAAATATTTGATGTTTCAAAAGGCAAGTTCGAGGCTTAAATCCACAGATTCTCATAGCAAGACTGATTCTTTGTGCAGATTACCCTAGCCCATGTTTTCAATAGGAAAATTCCATATTATGTTATAGAAACAACATATATTTTATACATTCTAGCCGGAAATTTAAAATTTGTACAATATTTAGTCGTGTTTTATGGAGATTCACATAGTACAGCGATATTTAATATAATTTTTTAACTAATATTACATTGTAATTTGGTCATATCAACTTTTATACGTGAAACTTAAGAAACAATCCGTTTTGATCCGCTTTTTCCGTTTTTATTGTGAGCCGTTCGAAAAGAAACAACGCGGAAAACAATGCCAAACAGTTAATAATTGAAAATTGAATTAAGTCGGCAGTGGCAACAACAAATGAGATTGATCAACGCCAACCTGTAGTCTCTACTGTCAAGTGTCATCTTTGGATTAGGAACCCTAGTGCCTTTAACGTTACAGCGCTAACCGATTTCCGAGTCTCATAAAGGTAATAAATTAATTCATTCACCGTTGAAAGCTCAGCGTGCGAAGCCCACGGGGCGGCTTTGTCGGTTTTAGTACGTTTGCTCTTTCCGATTTCTTGAAGACAGCTGTGATTTTATAGAAAAATTTGCTTAGGACTTGTTGAGTTCCTGTGTGAATTTCGACTTTATCACAGGTTGGCCTAACGTTTTTTGAAACCCGTTGTAGTTTTAATTCCCCAACAGGTGGTTCAATATACTTAAATTCGTGTGTTAAACAACATATGATGGGGTTTTCGTCGTATAACTTTTTTTCTATCTCCGTAATCGTCATTTTAACTTTTCCCATTAAGAAACGTCCAGAAAATTTAATACATTATCACAAGAATTTAACGCTTTTGTTACTAACTCCGGCATACACTCGTGTAATTTCTGTTAGAATGCAAATTTTGAGTCAATTTCGAGTATATTACATAGTACAGAAGTATAGAATACAAGTTTTTTTAAATCTAGCGTTATTATGGAGATTTTCTGGATTAGCTATAAAATAAGAATGAAAACAAATGATTGTTTTAACAAAATACTGTTTTTTCGTTTTAATAAACTTAAGCCTAAACAAGTATTACGAATCTAAAATACATGTTTCAAATTGAAAAATGGTATTAACTAATAAGTCCTACTTTTACAAAATTTATTATTTGCCTTTTCACAGGAAAATTAGCAAGCTAGTTAAACTATAACATGAAAAATTTGATCGAAATTATTGAGATTTTATGTAAGCCGTTTGGAAATATTTTCTAGAATTATCCTGCATACAAAATCTGATGGAACTAAATATGTGTTTTTGTTTTGTTTTTTTTTTTTGACAAAAAGTGACTTCTTTTTTCGTTAAATCTTTTAAATTTCTAAATCTAAGCTTCGACAAACAGAACAAACTAAACACTAATAGAATTGACAAAAAAAATTAGAAGTAAAAATCATATTTCACAAAATTTCCTTCTCGTCTCTTCATAAACCTAGGCGCAAATTCCATGTCTCACCGACGATTTAATCCTCATGTGTCCAATGGCTTAAATCAAAGCCTTTAATTTTTCAATTTTGTTTCTTATTTATTTACACAGAGACGTCGGAAAATGCTAACGAAAAATCGAGGGAAAATTTTCAAAACCTAAGCCAAGCTCATCAAGCTCTGCCACTTCTTGTGTTTCGAATTTAAACATGGAAGAATGGTTACAATATGAAACATACAAACTAGATAAAATGTACAAAATAAAGATGAATTTTTTCATTGTTACTTTGTAAGTTTAGCTAAATTTCAATTCAAATTCTTACTCACCCCCTCTCTCACTTGTTTCCCTCCTCTTTTCCTTCCTTTATTTCTGTCTCTCTTCTCTCCCAATTCCTCTCTTCTCTCTCTCTCTCATTCACTCCCTCACTTTTCTCTCTCTCCCAAAAAATTTAAAAAAACATATAAACCGTCTCTCTCTCTCTCTCTCTCTCTCTCTCTCTCTCTCTCTCTCTCTCTCTCTCTCTCTCCCAAAAAATTTAAAAAAACATATAAACCGTCTCTCTCTCTCTCTCTCTCTCTCTCTCTCTCTCTCTTTCCCGCTTTCCCACTCTCTCCTTTTTTCTTTCTCTCTTTCCCCCCTCTCACTCTCTCTCTCTCTCTCTTTCCCACTCTCTCCTTTTTCTCTTTCTCTCTTTCCCCCTTCTCTCGCTCTCTTTTTTTTCTCTCCCCCCCTTCCCCCTTCTCCTCGACATATCGTAATATCTTATCTTAATCAGCTATAAAATATTATCAGTGGTTGCATTTCTCGGAAAGTATACTTAAGACAATCTAAATCTTGATTCGACCGAAAAATCTATTGAGAAAAAATTAAATTAGTGTACGGAAGGAAGGCAAACTTATAAACATCTATAGATACCTTCCATAAATGTACTAAGCATTTCTAATGTGAATTATTCTTTCGACATTTTGCCTTTATATCTTTATATTTAATCTATTTGTAATTTTATTTTGTACACTGGTCGTCACTCTAAAATCCCTGCAAATGGTTGGTTTTCAAACGGTTCAAAACTGAAGTATTTGTACGGAATAGTTGCACCGCAATTATTTTCTACCAGTCTTTTTTCTACAAAGTAATGCATAGTTGCATATACAAATACATATTTTTTTTTAAACAGAGAAAATATTTCATGCAAAACACACCCTATCTTTTTTCCTCTGGTGGTAAGAGCACGCTTAGGATTTTTTTTTTTAGTAAATATATTTTATTTTTATTTATATATTTTTTAAAGCCGGTGGTTGTTTCTCAGTTCTTAGGTGGGGTTGGTACACGTGCTATAAGACAGGGGGATTACGAGCCAACAACTATTTATAAGCAAGGGTCTCCCGCACACTTCAGTCATGCCCAGGGCCTTTCTCTTTACACACCGGCGATACCCTACAGAGGAGCAAGGTAAGGGACGAAGTCCTTTTTATTAATGAAACTTAATTCACTCTTATTTCGTATTAATTGACTCTTCCAATTAACACTAACAATAAGTCAATTTTTATCGGTTCGCTTGCAAATATGAGCAGCTTCTTTTCCTGCACCTGTTGCGTCTTTAAATAAATTTTTCTGACACCGATGTGAGAATCGAGGCGAAATAACTGCACAAAGTTTAAAATTTTATATTTTGATTTAATTGTTTGTACGGTCCTTAATATAAATTAATAATTTAAATATAACTTTTTTTTCTTTTTTAAATAAGTGATCTTCAAAATTTCCCCTCCATTTGGATAAAGACGAAGCTCCGGTCGAATATTTTTGAATATTTTGATTTTTTATTTTAATTATTTGTTAATATGTTATAAATTCCTTTTATAAAGGTTAGTTATAAATAAATGCATACATCAGCATGTAATTAATTAATGTAATTGTTGATTAAATATAAAAATTTGTTTCGTATTAAATTTTAAAAAATTCTCGTGTTTTTTGTTTGCCTTTTTAACATGTTATTTAATATTAAATTAATTTGAGTAAGAAAGCTCTTAGCCCTTTTTAGAACTCCTACACAGTAGCACACTGGAAATGATTCGCCTTCATACCTATTGGTATGTTCATTCCTATTTTTAAATTTTGGTATGGGACAGTTTGATCCAAACATTGGGTCAAAATTTCTGCATGGAATGACATCGTGATCATCATTACATTTAAGTAGATTAAAAAATTTTGATAGAAGGACGTGGACGAACCATTCCAAAAATAGATATTAGACCAAACAATCCTAAAATGGGCCAGGTGGGTTTCAGGAAATTTTGAAATTCGGTTAAATAATTTTTTGTTATAATTGTTCCTTTTTTTTATGCTCACCGTCATCGGCATCTTTTAAATATCTGTTACATGAGGTTTACAACTATTTCAGGAGGTGCGATCCGCTCGTATTGTCCGATAAAACAACATCCTTCTGTGAAATAAATCTCGTTCATTGAGAAGACTTTAAAAGGAGTCGATTTCGTAAAAAATATGGTTTTTTTCGCCTTTTGGTCCTTCGCCAACATAACTCGAATCACCAACCACCTGATCAACCGGCCACCATCTGCCGTATCACAGCAGAAATAGTACAACCTTTATGAACATCGGGTACCCTTGGCAAGCTTAAGAATTTATCCATTGTTGTATAAATTATTTTCAACGTGGCTTTTGAGGCTGTTCAACTGTGCTATGAAATTTATTTATTTAATCTCTAACGCAGTTTGTTGAAAAACACTTGTCGGCAGATTATTTTTAAACTAAGCGAACAGTTTTAACCCATTTAATTTACGCATTTGACTACACGGCTTTTAATTTCGGCCCATTATAAAGACACAATTGGACAACTCCCACCAAAAAAAATTACAAAAATCATAATATCTAAAAATTCCTACGACGGAAATTTTTTATAAAACCCTTATTAAAAATTCCTAAGGAACCAGTTAAGGAAGTTAAATCGTATAAAATTTAGCACTTAGTCTATATTTTATCGCTCGTTCAATGGGTTTGCTTAAGAACAATCACCTCGGCCATCATAAGTTATTGTGGATGGCTTGGAGTTCAAAACGCCCGTTTTAAAGACCAATTCTAGTTTATGGATAGACTACCGTCCGACCAGTCTCAAATTTTCACGCTTTTAAAATTCGAGGTTCGATAAAAATATATATACATTTCCCACCTTATATCATTTTAGAGGTCGCCATGATCAAACGGATTGAGATATGAAAAGTGATACTTTTTTTGGGCAAAAGTCCATCTCACTATTTAACCACTACCGCTGTGGCTAAAAAAAAATGGCTTTTATGATTAACATAATAAAATGCTTACTACGGACGATTTGAACCTTACACAATACCATTTCTATGATTATTTAAAAAAAAATTTAAATATCTATTTTTTAGTACTAAAGTAAAAATACCAAGTTAAAGTGTACCAAAGCACGTGAAAAAGACGATGAACAGTGCAGTTGTATTATATTTTTTAACACTTAAGCTAAAATTGTTCAATTATTAGTTATATTAATTTATTTAACATCGACTTATTATAATGTCTAATAAATATATTTTTTATTAATTATTGTGTTAAGTATAATTGTAACTGTTACAGTATTATTATCATAAGTTTTTATTTAATTTACAATCCAATATATCAAAGCTATAAATTTTTTAACTGTATTATGATCGTTGTACCTTTATGTGTGTGTGTGATATGTGCTATTTATTGGAAGGAATATATTTATTAGAGTGAATGAAAGGGGCTTATCCCTAATTACTTTGAGGAATATTAAGCACTCCAGAGTAGTATGAATTAAGTCTGATATGTAAATGTAATTTATTAGCCATGAATGGAGGGGCTCCTTCCCTCAAACACCCCAAGAAATATGGAACACTCTGGGGTAGTGGGAATGAATTATGGTCTGTGAATGTAATTTATTAGCGTAAATGGCCGGGCTTATTTTTTGCAAACACCCAAGAAATTTTACTATGCTGGGATAGTGTAAACAAATGGTGGTGTATGAATAATTTATTAGTGTGAATCTATTGATAAATATTTCTTGATATCCATGTTTTTAGCCAAGGTTTAATTGTTTGTAATTCTTATTTTAAAATTAGCAGGTGTTAATAGTATTTTCAACATACAGTCTATGAGCCAAATGAATCCAGTAGCTTTTTGTGTCTGGGCATGAGACGAATTTTCTGGTATCATAGTGTCTATAGTTGTAGGTTTTCTTTATATATTTGAGAAATTTGAAATAAAAAAATGTGAAATTAAACTTGGAGATAAATGCATAAATAATGCAATAAGTTTTGATTAACGCCCTATTTCAGAATATTTAGGCATTTCACCATCTTCAGTGTGTTTCTGTGATTCTATGAAGTCTCCATCCCAACCATGATAGGCAGACCAATAGGTCAATATCAACCAAATTACATATTTGTTCTGGAATAAATTTAACAGTCAAAATAAAAATGATTTTGTTATTATACAATAAAATAAATATTGAATTGATTTAGGCCCATCCTGAATTTCTGCTTATAACCTATAGGCCTATAGATTAGGTAACCTATAAAACAAACTGTTCAGTTGAAATAGGTGCTATATGATCATAATAAAATAATACAATTGCTGCACAGTTAATATTTGTTAAACTTTTAAATCATTAATTAAACTATCCAAGTACTGGTGAAGCTTAAAGAAGGAACTAAGCTTCATTCCTGATCGTTCTTTAGCATGTAATAATAATTTTGAAGGCTAATCACTATTTTTTTAGGAGATAGGTTTGTGTTCCATTTTAATCAACTGTAATAATTTAATGATTATAGAATATTAATTACTATTGTTAATTACAGATGTCAATGATGCCACTGAAGAAGATGAGAGTAATTATAAACTTGACTTCCAACAGCCTGTTGATGAATTATACAACTTGACTCAGCTTGCAGAAGTCAGTATAGCTGCTGGGCAAATAGGATCAACATCTTTTTACCAAAGAGAAAAGGTCAGTTGCATTTTTTTAATATTTATTATTACTATTATTATTTTTAACATTGTTTAGGATGAAAGCAGAGAATACTATACATGTAGAGAGTGTGGTAAGAGATACACAACTTCGAGTAACCTTGCCAGGCACAGGCAAGTTCATAGATCGTTGACAGACAAAAAAGCTCGTAGCTGTCCACACTGTGGGAAGCTTTATGTTTCAGTACCTGCTTTTAGTATGCACATTAGAACACACAGTCAAGCCTGCACATGCCATATATGTGGCAAAGGTTTCTCTCGTCCTTGGCTTCTTCAAGGGCATATTAGAACTCATACAGGTATTATATTGCATAAACATTTTATTTGAAAGACAAAAATTGACTATTTGTTTACTTTAGGAGAAAAACCCTTCAAGTGTTCTGTCTGCAATAAAGCTTTCGCTGACAGGTCGAACCTACGAGCCCACGTTCAAACGCATTCGAACAAAAAACCACACATCTGTCCTCGCTGCGGCAAAGCATTCGCTCTTAAGTCTTACCTCTGCAAACACGAAGAGTCGTCATGCATGAGAAATTCACAAGACAACAAGTGCCGCATAACTTTCACCCCACAATTATTCAACTTGGCCATCAGTGTCTGATTTCAAATTTGTATATAATAAACTGTGCCAATGGAAATTAAGATTCTAGTCAAAAATCTATTAAAAACCAAAGCAAAATTTGATCTGCGTTTTTCAACAGACATTAAATGTTTTTTAACTCTTAAAAATTTATTAAAACATTGAAAGGGGACCATAAATGAATTTAATAAAATTGGTTTATTTAAATTGTGTTTATATTATTTTATTTAATCAATTATTTATTCTTTATTTGATACTATAAAGTGGAAGAGTGCCACATCTAGTCTTTAGTTATTTTTTATGTGATTTGATTTCGTCACTGAAAAATATACTATTCGATTGAAACAGTTCAAATTGTTATACTTTCATGTAAGACACAGTATAACATAATACATATCTGGCAAAATGAAACAGAAAAAGAGTTACTAGTTCATTTGAATATTAAGGTCAGTTCTATTATAATTTACTTATTGACAATTACCAAATTAAGTAGAACAACTACAAAACTGTAGGATTGTAACATTTAATTGTAAGATAGTGTAGTTCTTATTTTTTATAGTGTTATTTTTTGTATACTGTTTAGTTCAACTCACCTCTCAAACAGTAGTGTTCAAATTTCATAATTTATATTCAAAATTCTATCAGAGAAAATTTAATACTAAGCTATCAGGACTGTATATTAATTTTTTTTGTCATGTATATAGTTAGTTTTTAAATTGTGAACAACATGGAGAGTGGCACTAGTCAATCTTTTTTAATCTCACTTTTTTAGTAAAGCGATTTATAAGAGAAAATATCCTTCCTTCCTAAAAGTAAAATGTTCCTTTTTGTAAGTTGTTCTACGCAGAATGGTACGATAAGATATTTTGATAAAATTTTATATATTGGAATAAATATTGTAAAAACGGTTTGAATTATTTTCTTTTTCTTATCCTCTATAACGCATCATTTACTTCACATTAAAATGATAATAAATGATAATAAAATCCTAGTATAATAAACCACCAATTGAGCAACAATGAGTTATGTTAATAATAAATATTCTATAATTATATTTCACAGGGCCATCTTTTTGTTCAATCAGTGTATTTATTGTTAATATTGTAATAAATCCATTTACGTTTTGTTAGTCAATTGACCAAGTTGCTTCTTTCAATCAATTAATTATTCTTTCTAAGGTCTTGGTTGAGATAAAAAAGTCAGTGTCACGAGTAGGATTCGAACTCACGACCTTCGGCTAGATACGCCGCTACTCTACCACTTGAGCTATCGTGACTTTGATCCTCTTGGACACCAACTCTCCATCTAAACCTACAACCTTTCGAATTTTCCCTATTTTTGCCATTTTCAAATCTCGCTTGTGGCACTGACTTTTTTATCTCAACCAAGACCACCTGAGAATCCAATCCAATTACACGAATTTGAAAATTGCAAAAAGAGGGAAAATTCGAACGGTTGTAGATTGAGATGGAGAGTTGGTGTCTGAGAGGATCGAAGTTATGATAGCTCAAGTGGTAGAGTAGCGGCGTATTTAGCCGAAGGTTGAGGGTTCGAATCTCGCTTGTGACACTGATTTTTTTATCTCAACCAAGACCTTAGAAAGAATAATTAATCAATTGTAATAAATTTTAAATTAATTTAAATTAATTTTTTTGCATAATTTAAACACACAGAAAATAACAAAAAAATAGTAAGAGTTGGTTTATTGAATACATATAAGAATAATATTTTAATATAATTATAGCATAAAAAGCACACTGCAGTTATGATTTACAACCATCGGCTGGAGAATGGGCAATAAGTATTAAAATAAACAAAACAAAATTACTATTTTGAACAAAATTGAAACATTTTCATACAATCTCATTATTATCTTTAAATGTGAAGGGAGAATAAATTAAATTAATAACAAAAAATTTAATAGTTTTAATAGGAAACTAGTTCTTTCCAATAGTTCCACGCTTCTTTAGCAAAATGTACTAAACTGAAACCATGAAGATTATTTAAAGGGAAGTTTAGATATTTTATCGTGATTTTGGATAAACCTAAATGTCTCACTCTGAATTCTGATAAAACTGGACATCCTTCTAAAAAAAGAAAATTGTCTTCTCTTGTCTGTTTGTTGTATAAAGAGCATAGGTTGGAGCTATTATCTCTAGAAGGGTTGTAATTAAGGATAAGTAATTCATATCTGATTTTTTAAAACCAACCACAAAAAAGGACCGAGGAAATTTTAGCATTCTAAAGTTTTGATTAAAAATTAGATCTTAACATAGCATTAATTGGGAGAAATTCTGAGCTTAATCCAAGCATCTGTCAGTGAGAATATTTTGGATCAAGTTAGAAAACAAAACTGGTCATTCTTTAAGATTATCAAGAGAATAATTGGCATCGAGATCGAATTGACGAGCTAAATCATTTCAGGAGGAGAACCATGAAATTTTGTATATGATAAACTATCACACTGTTGTTTTAGGTCGCCAGTGGTTGGATAGACCTTGTACATATAACGTGTAACTTCAATGAATATAAAAAATTAGGTCAACCAAGGATTACAAGTAAATCATAGAATTAGGAGAGAACAAAGGGAGGAGATAGACTTTGTTAATAAAATATCATTGCAGGGTTTCGCTTTTATATCATACCGTTGAAAGCCCCAAGCCTGAAGAGTATAACATGATAGAATGGCACAGCTAAAGCCAGCTTGAGTTTGCTGCTAACAGGGATGAAATTATTATATATGTGATTCAGTCAAATAGAATTCATGTTTTGCGGTGTTAATATTGCATTTGAGATGGGGGTTGAGGGCAAGTTTAGGGGTGAAAATTTAAGTTAATGGTCTGCGAACTTATGTTCATGCCTAGGGACACTTATTCGTTCCTTCTTCACTCTTGGGTGTGTACATACATTATGAAGTGCAGGGTTATAATGCACATTAATATGAATCCTAAATCATCAAATCTTACTTCACTACCAAAAATACACAAACCTAACATTACCATCAAACCAATTGGCAACTATAGGCAAGCCCCTCCAAACAAACTATCCAAATTATCAAAGTTAGTTGCAGATATCCTAAAATCTAATTTCAATTTTGAAAATAAAGCACATTCTGCGTTAAGAACACAATAGACCTGGTAGAAAAACTCAATAACTTAACAATCCCTTAACTGCCAAACTATTTAACTTTGGCATACCAAACCTGTATCCACCCCAGTCAAAGAGACCATCAACATACCAACAAACACTACACAAAAACTGTAATGCATACACAACACAGCTTACAAAAATAACTACAGAATAAAACTACTTTAAATTCACCAATTCACATATCCCAAAAGACGGTCTAAGGATGAGGAACCCAACATCTTCCATTATTGCAGAGGTGTTTCCCCCCTCAAAAACTTCCCAAAAATAATGGATGAGAGAAGAATGCTCCATCTATTTACATCCATCGATAACAAACTTACCATAACAGACAACTCCTCAGAAAAAATACTTGGGGAACTTAATGCAATACTCAAAAACATCAAAATAGAAACTGAAAATAACAACATATAACTTCTTGGGGCTTAACACTCACCCGAACCAACAATAAAATCGAGAAAACCCGCAAATGAAGACAAACTCAGTAATAGTTCAACATGGTGAAAATTAAGCCCAAATATTTATATGTATTTTGATGGAAAAACTCATGAAACTCCAATGCTCGTGTACAGCAAGTCCATTCCTCCAAGAAAAATATAATTGTTGACTTACTGATTCCAGCTAGCACATTATGTCTCCAAGGCTTTTTTGGCATTGCGGCTGGAAAATCAGCTAGGATTATATCATCATATAACATTGAATCTGTCTCTATAAATAATATTTTTATTTAGGTATTCTTGTTTATTTACAATATTCTTTATTTTTTATTGCCAAATTATGATAATTAAGTCCTAAAAAAGGAGGGAAAATGAAGTTTATATAGTTTTAATTTTTAAAATTAATAATACAGTAATTCAATACTTGTGGTAATTATTACAAACTCAATTGGGTCTCTTCATTTCTCTGCCTCGTCGGTTTACTTCATTTTTTGCATGTTCTTTGAACTTGTCTGTATTTGGTTTATAACATGTTTTATACATAACTATTAGAAGCATTGTAGAAGTTGTAAGTATAATGATGTCAGCAATATACAAATAGAGCTAAAAATTTAGTACAAGTTTTATAACGTAATTACAGAAAAAAATTGGCACAAGAGATTTAAAAGTGCATAAAGATAAAACTAAATGGTGTTATAGACATACATAATAAAAGTTGAACTATTAATCCTTGTTTTTAGCAAATACTTACATCTGTATGTGAGGTAATTGCAAGTAAAGTAAAGATGAAAAAAATCTGGCTCAAACAGTTTGTCAAACACCAAAAAAGTGACAAAATTTCATAATATTTTGGCATAACCTGAAATCATTATATGTCTAAAAAATTTTATCAGTTTAAATAGATAGTTGTCACCATTTCTTTGAAATATATGAATGAAGGGCTTTCTATAATCATTTCAGCTATGGCTAGCATCGCATATTGAGGAGTTTGAAATACAATTTTACGTCTAAAAGGTTCACGTGTTGTCAACAATGCGCCCACCTACAAATGAAACCAAATGAGCGAAGAAAAATTAAGTATATATAAGGAATGTATAAATACTGGTATAAAAGATTTTGGCTGGACCAATAAAAATGTATAAACTCCGCCAATTTCCAAAACAGACGGAACGATACTATCTTCATCATTCACCTTGAATACATACCTGGCATATAATGTATTACTGACTTTAAATTTCCATAATGAAATAACTATAAAAATGATATTAAAAAATAATAGTTTATAAACTTACCTTCCAGGCTTTAAAATAAATACATGTGTTATATGTTCTTTATTATTTAGAGTTAAAGAAATAATTGTTGGGCCAATTATTTCAACTTTTGTTTTTTTACTCTTCAAATCATAAACCACCCTATAAAATATTTGATAACATTATTATTATTACAATCGAATTTGAGTGAGGATCAGGTAAATGGTCATCGGATGAAGAAAACACAAAAAATCTGCCTTTACCTCATCCTCACTCAAATAGTGTCACTGGTCAAACTTCACACACATTTTTAAAAATATTTGTTCTGTTTGAATAAGGTGTTTAGCATAATAATTTACCTTAATGAAGGCAGTTGAGTTGTTTCGTTAAATATTGCACTTTTTGCAAATGAAACTGTGTCCAGATGAAGCATTAAAAGATGTTTTTCATTTGATTGTTTCAATTTTATGAGATATATAGATATCTGAAAATATGAACTGTTGAAAACTTAAAAAAAAGAGATATATTATGTTGATTTTTTCATTATTTATATTAGTGAGAGATTAAACAAATATGTTAATGATTTTTACCGCATGTTTGTTAATTGTTAAAGGCAATGAAGTTGATTTATGTTGTCCCATATGGTACGTTTGCAAATAAAGTGTTGGTGGTAAAGAGTAATCGTACGCAATATTTTCTACACTGATTGGTTGAATAAATAAACTAATCTGATTATGTCCTGAAAAATGAATGAGAACTGTGTCCAACACTCCGTTGAAAATTTGCACCAATGCAGTATGCTGATGGTATCGAGGATCTGTCTAAAATATTTTTTTTTAATGTATGAGAAATGGTGATTAATAATCAAGGTTTTTGGTTTTTTTACATTCAAATGTGATTCTGTTATGCAGGCACATACTATCGACAGCAGTAAAAAGAAGCATGACCATAAATATTGCTTGAATGATGTAAACACTTTTTTACTATATTTTTCATACATTGGAATTATAATAAATATAAACAATGGCAATGACAATATTTTCATAGCCGGAAGTACAGTTAATATAGCATTATGATGAAATCTTTCTCCTTCAAAAAATTCATTTCTTAGATGTTCTGATTGTCTTAAATACTTTGAAAACTGAAATAATTTTTTTATGTATTACATGTAATTGTTATATATAACTACATTGTACATTATAAATGTTATAATTTAATGAAGTTAAAATTGAACAATTCACAACACTGTTTCACAGGAGGAAAATGTTTAACGAATTAAAATTGACACTGAATTTCTAATTATCATCTTATCCGTGATCATCTTAGCATACCCTTATTCCATTGGATTTTTATGTCAGATGCTTTTTGGCGTTTTACCTCTTCAATGGATTATTAAAAAAACTCACAAGCCTGTATGAGTAGGGCAGACCAGTATGATGAGAGACTAACTAGCTACTGGTTGTTCACAAAACTCAATTTTGGCTTCATCTTTTACTTTTTTCAATTTTTTTTTTTAAATCTTTTATTTTGTTCTTGCAATATAATGTATGTTATAAAACATATTTTGATATTACAACAATAAACTGTCGTTTTGTCTACAATTTTCACAACAACAAATAAACTTGCAGTGCTTTATGTCAAATCTATCACTGATGATGAATTTTTTATCTACATTTTTTTACTATCATGTTTTTCATCAAACATTATTTTAATTGAGTAGTTAAGTTTGTACTTTAGGTCTTTTAAATGTAATGCCATTTTTCAATTAATTATGACCGCTAAAGATTTAAGGATTAATGTAATGCCATATTTTTTCACACATTTGGAAAGCCCTTTCCATAAAAAAAATATATGTATACCAGAAACTCAAAAATACATTGACTTGTTCTGGAGATATTAGTTTTCTTTCAGAATCAATCATTTCACTTTATCATGTAATTGATTTAAAAAAATATATATATTGAACATGTCATTCAATCAAATATGAAAATTTAGTTGAAATAAATACAAAAATTTCATTCCATCAAATATAAAAATTTAATTGAATCAAATATGACAATTTAGTTAAAACAAATATAAAATTTTCATTCAATCAAATAAAAAAATTTAATTCAATCAAATACAAAAATATAACTGAATCAAATATGAAAATTTAGCCACATCAAATATGAAAATTTAACTGAATCAAATATGAAAATTTAATTAAACCAAATATAAAAATTTTGCTGCTTTTAATTACGATAGTTCAAGTGATTAGAGCAGCAGCTTATTGAGCCAAAGTCATGGGTTCAAATCCCACTTGCGATAATTAACTTTTTCAGCTCAACCAAGTCCTTAGATAAAAAGGATAATTAATTGATATAAAATTTAATTGAACCAAATATGAAAATTTAACTGAAGTAAATATCTCCAGAGTGAATCAATGTTATTTTTTTTATGAAATTGAATAAAATATGAAAATTTAAATCAACAAAAATCAAATTAATTGTTGAGTTTCTAGAATAATTTTTTGGAATGGAAAGAAATTAACATGTGTAAAAAAAAGTTGATTGCCAGGTTGGTTTCACATGCCAAGTTTACAGTTTACATTTCTAATAGCACCAGAAAGATTCTATGTGAAAAGTTACATCTGGAACCATACTTATTTTTACAATAAATTAACCAACATAAAAATAGAAGGCCATGTCTTTTATTAAGCATTAAACAATATGGTATCTATAGAAAAAAAAAAGATGCCAAATCAGTGCATAAAAATAAGTTTACACCTTACAAATTTTAACTTTAAAAACTGACTGAACATTTAATCTACAATTAAAAAGGTTTATTTTATTAATTACCTTAAAATCAAAATAGTACATTACCAATATTAATGGAAAAAATGCGGGTAATGTGTATATGGTCTGTGACACCATTGATGATGAATCTTTTATCTTAAACTCTTTTTTTGAGGCAATGTTTTTTCGTTCACTTATATGCAAAATCCAGTTTTTTAAGTTACTCTGAAAGTATAACTGTTATGAAATGCATAAAAAATTAACCTTTGTAGAATACGTACACAATAGAATGACATTAATTTTAAAAGTATGTTGGTTTCATGTTGTACAGTATCAATTTTATGCGATACTAGAAAAAATGCCACTGTAAAAATTGTATTAGTTGTACATTTATAATCAATAAACAAAAACATTAGATACTTACAGAAACCAATAACTTTGCTAACTAATAAAAAATGTAAGCTTAACCTATCAAAGTTTGCTGTTTTTCGCTTATCATCAAACCAACTGACTTGTATTACGGCATATAATTGTCCTAAATACTCTGTCATGCGAAACATAAAAGCAACTTTTCTATTTTCTTGTTCCTTATGGTAATTGAATTTAACTATGACTCTTATAAGTTCAACAGCCCCTCCAGAAGTGATAGCATGCATAAATGACGGCCAAATAATATAATGTCTAAAATTTGACAAATTTTTTAAACCTCCAATAACTATAATTTAAGTAATATATGTAGAAGAATAATAATTTATAATTTTAATAACATATAATAAACTTCTCGAGTTCTTGTAGCATAAGTGTTGCCAATCATTTTGGTCTGCCTATCCTCCCGGGTTTTGTCTGTCAGAAGTGTTATTGTATTTCCTCATTGATGGTCGTATGTTCAGCTAATTATAAATAAATATGAAAATGGTGTGTCAAAATGTGACCGATAGACAAATCCAGCAAAAATTAAGCAGACCAAGATGATCAATCACAGAATTTTACAATATTTTAAACTTAAGCTTTTATCAAAAATAAACAACAATAGAAAAACTTATGTACTGAATATAGAAGTTTTTCAATTAAACATTAATTACATTATGTTAACATAGGAATGCAATTTATGCTAGGTGTTAATTTTTCTCAACAACCTTCTCTCTCCGAAATTCCATGCCAATCACCTACTAATATAGCACGCATTGCATCCTTAAATTAAATTATAACCACCACAGAAGTCAAAATCCAAAATTCAAAGCACGTCGTTTTTCGCTTTTTTGTTGAATAAAAATTAATAGTTTTAGAAGTAGATCAGGACATAGTCCAATGAACAAAACTTTTATAAGAGCTTTTGACATATGTATTTCACCTTACTCAGGGCAAATTGATGAAAAAGTGATCAAAATAAAATAGATGAGATCTAGAGTCCACTCAGGCTTGCTATTGTTTGGATAGATAAAGATGTGTTTTTAGCGATCAACTAATATTGCCACTCTAGTTCCTTGGTTCAAATCCCAGTTTAACCTATGAATTTTTAATTGTGAACAATATGGTGAAAGTAGTGTAAATAAGTTTGACCCTTGTGGACCCAAGAAGTAGTTGAACATTAAAACCTCCTTTATAATGAACTTTAATTTACTTTTTACTGTGCATCTAGACAAATTATTACAGTTAGTTCTAATAATTAACATTAAGTTTATGTGAAGCTTGACAAATGTACAATGTCAATTATCAAAACATTGGCACGATAAAAAAAATGTTTTTCTAAACCTATATTACACCAGACCGCACATCATGATCTAAATCATGATAAATAATTATATCAGTTAGATTTTTTAAAATATTTTTTCTTACACAGGTGAACCGCTTGAGTTGTATATGAATTGCGTTATTAACAGAATTGTAGATATTAATCCAAAAATATATATAACCAATACAGCTCTGTAAATAAAAATGTAAATTAAATTTAACTTTATTCATATCACGCATATCAGGCCCATAATTCATCAATATGCCTCAAAAAGAGATTATTATATTTTAGTACCTGAATATATAATGTGGTCTGTAAGGAAGGAACCTAAATGTACATTGTGCTACTAATCCAAGAAAAATGTAACTATGCACACATAACATTGATAAATCAGAATTTACTTGCAATGCTCTCAAACCATAATAAAGGTATGCTGAAAATATATTAAATCCAACGATTATTAAAACAATATTATTAATAATAACAAAAAATAGTTTTACAAAAGATTTCAAATGTTCAAAATTAATTCATTAAAATAAAAATTCTCTATATATTATTAACATTAAATTTTTGCATTTTAACTTTTTATATGGGATGTACATGATTCATTAATTTTGTAATGTATAATTTGTAAATAACTATCATCTTTGTTTTAAATATTTTATATTGAATTCTAAATGTACTATCATAAGCTTTTCTCATAATTATTATAACTTAATATAAATTATATTATTAAAATACTTACTTAAAATACCATAGTTACAAAATTGTTCTGTAAAATGCAGCATCCAGACCCAGATAGTTGTAAAATGAGATATCTGGTCAATTTGGTTGACTCCTGGTTTCATTTTTAATAAATTACCATAAATTATGTATTGTTTACCAAAAAAATTGGTAATTTAACCATCTGTTTCTTATTCACCTGGGCTAGATATCAGTATGAATCTTGAATGTAACACCTTATATTCTAGATATAAACGATCTTTAAACATAGTCTTTCTGATACTCATATTAAGTATTTTTGAAGTATACAAAACTTCAAAATATATATAAAAATTAAAAAATTCATACCAGGAGTCATACCTTAGCATACATTTTAATTATTTTGTTCAAAAACTTGATACACTTTATCAAAAGTAAAATGAGATAAAATACATGAAATACGTAATCTAGCAATATCTGCTTTCAAGATTAAATTACATATTCAATTTTATTTATCTTATAATAGAAAAATGTTTAAAAAACAATAATAATCAGACAATACAAATCAAGCAGGACACATTGCATTGCCTATTTTACTAATTAATGATACTATTAACATTTATTTTAGTTATTATTTATTAATTTACATCTCATCACTGCTTGTGTATTATTTATTACACCATACCGTGGATAACAGCATTTACTACGGTTCCACATTACATTTTTGACGTGAGAATTGTCTTATTGTAGTAGCTATACTGTATACAAATTAGTGCCAGATTCGTGCCAATATTTCTGGTTTCTCTTGACAGATTTGGTATGTTTCTTTTTCTGCTTTGTCCATCTTCATTAGGTGATAGGACAGCAGTGGCTAGGGCTATGGTAGATGGTATGGAGGTCTATAATTTTCCTCAAACCTTTGCTAAGAGAAGAGTTTCTTCACCTTCCTTTTTGAGAGAGATTTATAATCCCTTAGCTTGCCTCGTACCTAGGTGCTTTTGTCTAACGCTTGAGTTTTTCTTTCATAGCTTTAGCACACTAATCTCATTCTCTGAGAGAGAGGAGTGCCACTATGACTAATCTAATAATGATCTCAGTATGGTCTGGATGAAAAACTAAATTCAATTATGTGCCAAGCTTTCAGTTTATTTTAAGGTCATCACCAGAACAAAACAATCTTAAAGACGTCTACAGATTGAAATAATTAAGTTTTTTTAAATATGGTTCTAAATGTTGAGACTGAATCAGTCCCAACATTGTAGATGTATTAGTCAGGGTGTGTAATATACTGCGCCCTTTAAGAGCTGTTGTATCCCCTGTTCTGTGCCTATAGTACACCAGTGAGTCCTAATTCATCCAGGGATTTGATTAGCAGGCTCAGTTTCAGTAGTTGAATTTCTTCTACGGTCACATTGTACATCCCGAAGCACTTCCTTCTTTGGGCAAGTAGTTTGTTAATAGTTGTGTCAGCATCTCCTCTGCTTCTTTGCAGAATCTGCACGTGCTGTCTTGGGTTATGCCAATCTTCTTTACAAGCCCGTTTAGTTTGCAGTGTCCTGTTAAAAATCCTGTTAGGGGACACAGTTTTTTCTTGCTTCCTTTGATACATTCTATCTTTTTTCCTTCCAAAATTTGTTAGGAGGTTCTTGGATTTTTTGTGTCCAATGAGTGAGTTCCATTGTTCAGTCCCAACATTACGAAGCACTTGGTTTCTCCTATACCTTCAGAGACCTGGTCCCACCTCAAGATAACCTTGTGTTTTCCTAGAACTATTAGGCAATTTATGCATTCTCAGAAGTATCGGAACTACAAAGTGACTTTATGGCTGCCTGACTGTCCAAAAGTATGTCGATTTTTTTTAAAGTAATGAATTTTATACCTGTATATTATTGAACGGACTATCTTGACGTCACATGAGCAGGTTCATGATCAGGCAACCTGAACTGTGCCTGTGACAGCTTACAGCTTACCTTCCCCATCTCCCAACATTTACGATTTACGAACACAAGTTTATTTACTTATTTATTTTAGTGCCGATTAAATTGTTTGTATTCACTTTTAAACTTGTTGCTTTGTTTCAACTGGGCGAATGGCCGGCTCTGCTTTAAGACGGCTCATGGCCGAGTACAAACGTTAGTATCTAATTTTTTTCTCTTTCTTTGCATTTGTCATATTTATTTTATCCTTCTGTCAGAGTTGACGATAAACCCTCCAGAAGGGATCATCGCAGGGCCGATCAACGAGGAGAATTTCTTCGAGTGGGAGGCTCTTATAACGTATGTACATATTTATGCCTGATCATTCGTAAACTTTACACATCTTACGACACTTCCAGGGGGCCGGAGGGCACTTGCTTCGAAGGAGGAGTTTTTCCGACTAAATTAGTCTTTCCTCCTGATTATCCATTAAGCCCACCAAAAATGCAGTTTATGTGTGAAATGTTCCATCCGAACAGTAAGTATGTTTTGCTTGATAAAGCTTAGAAACTTAATGCATATTTTGTTACTTATGTATAGAAATTACACTGACAGGCATAAAATTCCTTGTAATATAATTTGATTTGATTATGTTTTTATATATTAATCAAAGTTTCACGTTTTATAACGTTTAATAATTGAGTCTGTCTAAAAGAGTAAAAAAAATGTAAATTGCTAGAGAAAATGAAAAATTTTAAGATATTAAAAAAAGTTGGTCAGGTAAAATTTGTTTTAATTTGGTTTAGATTTTTAATTAGCTTTCAATATTGTGTATTTCCTCCTCTTACCTTAATTACATCTTGAAGACACCTCGGCATACTTTCTACCAGTATGGAAATGTCTTTTTGCTGGAGAGATTGTCTCTTTGCCCATTTTCAAGACCATGGAGTGTATCAGGAAAGGATGGACAACAACGGTGACTGATCTCTTCAGCTGTGCTCAGAGATTCTCTATAGGGTTTAAATGTGGAGATTGTGGTGACCATTCTAACAAATTAAACCTATTTTCGTCAAGCCAAGTTTTGGCACATGAGTGGTATGTTTTGGATCATTTTCATGCTGGAAAAGAATGCCCATTTTGCGTTTATCGAACTTTCTTAGGCTTCCTATCAAGCTATGCTTTAAAATCTCAACACAGTCGACTGCAGACATTCTCCCTTCTATTTGTGAATGAAACCAACTGCTTTTGTCATGAAGCATCCCCATACCATTGAATTCCACCCCCAAATTTAATTTTTAACATCTTATCCTTAATTTTTCATTTTGCTCTTTCCACTTCTACTCTTTGCCATCAGACCCAAATCTATTAATTTTAATTTCATCATACAACATTTGGCCAATAATTTTCTTTGTAGTGGGCATATTTTTAGTTTTTTATGCCTGTCGGTTAATAGAGGTTAAATTTTTTTTTGGTCAAGTTAACTAGGTCAACATAGTTTTTTAATTTTTGCCCTTCCTCACATGCCAGCTTCCCTCAAGACATGGCGAACTCCTTCAGCACTGATGTTAATACTATCGCCTGAACGAATAATACTGAGCTTGAAGGCATCTAAGTGTTTTGGCTTACGACGTGCTTTATTATTTTAAATCCCTCTCACATGGGTTGCAGTCATTTTTCAACTGTTACTAATAGTCCCTACTAAGCATCCATATTTGTGACTCAAAGAATGGTGGGATGGTCCTTTTTGAAGCTCATTGCTTTCTGAATATTTTCCAATATCGGCTTCACTGTAAAATGTGTATTAGCATTCATATTGTATTACATTCAAATGACAAAATTGTCAGCAAAAATTAAAAATGCTTTTTACTTATGGATTTAGATGATGCAGGAATTTTTAATAGTTATCAAGATTGACACTCACAAAATATATCAAGTAGTTTTGTGAGACTTGTAAAAAGGATTGAGTGTATTATGTTTACAATGCAGGTAGGAAAGGGTTTGAGGATTACAATAAAATAGTAAACAAAGTTTTCTGACAAGTGCTAAATACATATTGGCAAACAACATTGGATTAATACAAATTTTTGATAGTACTGCAAACATTTGATCAATTTCGTGAGTCACAGTACACACATTATATACAATTTCTATATGTGAGGAAGCAGGAGATGTTGACTCACTTGCTCAAGAAGTACCAGCTTTATGTTAGGGTTCATGCCTACTTATTCCCAGTGAGAGGCCAAGGTAATAAGATGTGACACATTCGGCAACGTTTCTCTACAACCAGAACACCAGAGCTGGTTTTGATCCAAAAGCTGGTGGCTGTTCAGATGTGTATGACCAATCCTTTCCTTTGGTTTCAATCATGCTTTTAACTCGCAGGAGCTTCTCGGACAACCCAGCTCACTGAGGTTTTCAACGCTCTCTCGCAGCATTATTTACTGCTCACATTGCATCACCTGGCTGTAATCATTTGTTGCCATCTAGCTGAATGTGTCCGAATACCCAGATGATTACATTGTTTTTCCAAGGAGCTCCTGCTCATTATATCATGCATATCTCTAAAAACAGGGTCCACCAAGAATCTGTCCCAAATTGCTGATGCTCAAGGAGTTGGTAGAGAATTACCCCTTGTGCTTGCCATATGCTTATAGTTTCTCCATGTACACGCTTTTGAGAACCTGCACCTACATAGATCATCACAGAATAAAACATGCTTAGCGGTTTCCTCATCTGCGCAGTGTTTCTTCTGTCTTTACTCCTATCCGGTGCACATGCTTTCTTAAGTGACATTGCCCTGACAGGAGTCAAACAAGAATCCTGGTTTGGTTGTGGTTGCCTTTCAATAATCCCTGTAAGTTTTGTCAATGGCCCTTCTATGAATCTCTTTGTGTCCATCTCCATGCCTGTGATATTGTTCCACGGTTTTGGACTCATTAAGGTTCCATTTTGAGATGTATCCTCTTTTATGGCAAGATGCTAGGCGAAAAAGAAGGCTATCTTCTGGGAATATATTCCTAGCCTTTTTATTTCCCTGGTGCAGTGTTAATCCCTATGATTTCAGACTAAAAAACTGTAGCACATTTACCTAGGTTTACCGTCAGTTCCATCTTTGAATTCATCCCAAAGACTCCACCCAAGCCCTTGTTCGTTTGTACCAGTTAGCCTTTCATACTACCAAGCATTACAATGTCTTATTAGGTTTATTTATGTATAATTTTTTCTTCCAATTTCTAGTTTATGCTGATGGAAGGGTGTGCATTTCGATTTTACACGCCCCGGGAGATGATCCAATGGGTTATGAATCTAGTGCAGAACGATGGAGCCCAGTGCAAAGCGTAGAAAAAATACTTTTGTCTGTGGTTAGCATGCTCGCAGGTTAGTATTAAATTTATTTTCATCCCTGCTTTAATTTAAGAAATTGAAAACTTGTAGTTTTTGTCACATCAAAATACATTAGACCATTTGATTATTTCAAGTATTCATACAATTTTTTTTTATATTCGTACTATACATATACATTTTTGTTCAATATCAAGATACATGCAGGTGTAATTTGACAAAGTGTTATAATTTATTATGTACATTTGTTTAGAACCTAATGATGAAAGTGGAGCAAATGTCGACGCGGCTAAAATGTGGCGTGAAAATAGGGAAGAATTCAATAGAATAGCTGAAAGGATTGTAAGGAAAACTCTTGGGATTCCTGTAAATTGAACTAATTGTGAATGGATTTTTCAACCTCAATCAAGGATTGCTTTTAAAATATTGTTGTCATTTATTACAAATTATATTTATACAAGTGAAAGTAGTAAAGAAACTAACTGTAACTTGAAAATTGTTATATATTTATACACAAATACATTATTTTCATTTAAATAATTTTATTTAATTCATCATTTTCCTTTAGCATTGCTGTTATAAATGAAAATTCATAATTTGTGCACAAATTTTCCCACAATGACCTACACTTTTTTAAATCTATCCAAAAATATCATCATCGCTAGCTAATCCTAGTATCCCATTGTTGCCAAATGAAATTACATAGTTATAAAAATAAAAATTAAACCACCAACTTAAGTAAGAATAATCAGTATTAAAGTCTACACCAATCTCCAATGACTTTTTGTCATCCTATCTCTTTCCTTTTCACTGCTGTCTGCTGGCATCTTGGGCAAAAAAGCTGCCAATATGTATGTTTGAAAGCTTCAGACCTCCCCATCCAGGTATTTTTCAGCATTGTTGTCTGCTGGCTCTTCACCAGGGCATTGTGTGAGATTCCTCTACACACTGGGTTTTTTGGCCAGGGTAAAGAATAATTTTTTTTTCTTATTTTTTGATAGTAATTTGATACCTGAAGTAACACAAGAGGTTAGCAAGTTAAGAAAACAAGTAGCAAACGATGACAGTCAGTGACAAAGATGGGCAAAAGAAGAAAAATTTTCTGTTTTAAGTGTCAAGGGTGATGACCACTTGATGTTTGTTGGCCCATAAATAATACATACACTACTATTTTAGAATTTTTATCATAAGTTGCTGCATTTAGACTCACCGACTTACATATAAAAAAATACAGATTGAAGAGAAAACGCTTTAGTTCTGTTGTACAAGACCTATAAATTGGCTAAGGAAAGTTCAATGACACCTATGGGCCCTGAACCTTTTTTTGCAGTATATCAAACTGGCAAAAACATAAAACATGGATCTATCAGAAAATGAATTTAAAAAAAGTCCTCCGATCAATGGGAATGTAGTCCAGGCAAGTTCGTTGAAGGACCATCATAGAAACTAACAGAAGAATTTCTACATCTAAGATGTGAACAGATCCCGAGGAAGAAAGGACAATAGAGCATGTACTCTGTTGACCCAAAGGTTTACGTAGGCTAAAAGTTCACACTTTAGCAAATTTTGGCCAACGAAAGACGTATAGTGTCTATTGGGCCGAATGTTGGTCGCCAACACATGGCCATCCTCATCAAATCAATGGGTTAGGGCCAAAGGATATGGCCATGTGGAATCGCAGTTGACTCTAAAAACAAAATTTTTACACTTCATCAGCACTACTTCCAATTTTGTTTTCTTCTCTTTGTCTTTCATGACGAAAAGATGTCAATAAAGATTCTTTTTCACACTCTACGTTATAAAAAATCACTTTCCCCCCAAGTGTCTAATCTTTTCAATTTGTTTTTATATTCACAGATCGTAGGATCCCATAACATTGCCATTCATGATTTCAGTTTTAGTACAATCTCATTATTCCAGCATTTTTAAGCATAAGAAGAATGAACCAACAAACGATCGAGCTTGTATCTACACTTTAGGAGGTTTTTAGGGCAACCCAATGTCAAATCTATTGAACCAGCAGACCGAACCGCAACCAAGGCCAACCGCTTCGTTGGCTCTGATTCGCCTCCCATACACACTAAGCAATTCTTGACCAACAAAGTGGTTGGTTGTCTTTTGTTGCTTAGTGCTAACCGTAAGATTACTACTCCTGGGAGAGAAAAAGTCCAGGCTCAAAAGATGCCCACGAGAAACCTTAAAAAAGCATTGGCATAGTGTAAAACCTTTAAGGTTAATGAAGAGTTCTTGGGTAACAAAAAAAATGCACAATAAACCAACCAGCTACCAACCAACATGGTGTGCGGGTCATCAAGAGGCAAACTCCTTTTCTAATCGGTCAAAGAAATGGCAATGAATGCAAAATTAAGACATTTATTTGCCTATTGCCTCGGATTACCAGATTATGTCATCTTTATCACAAAAGTTGCCGACTTTTATAATATTTGAATCCCTATGGCCTAAATCTTTGATTTTAATGATTATACAACTTGCTGAGTGTACAAATAAAAATGTTAGAGAAAATACATTCTTTCATCAAATCAATAGAAATTGCCAGAATTAATATTGTGAATCTGAAAAACAAAATTAAAATGGTTATAACTATGTATAAGAAAAAAAATGCAATAAAGTAGAAATAATTTTTATTAAAACAAAAATTTTCTTTTATGATCATTATGAATTTTTTTTCATCTCAATATGTTGCTAATTTGAACCATAGAAGATGCCAAGGAATGAAGGTTGAGCGAAGAAAAAAATTCTCATCATAACATTTGTTTTATTATTAACTTGACATGTTTTGGATCTGATGGACTATCACCATAACAAGAAATAATAGTTGTTTATGACAATTGTTTATATTTGTCTTGAGAAAAAAATTATTAAAAACAGCTGAATTCCAAAATCCCTGATTTTAAATATCACAAGACTAAATAAATGCCTAAGTAGTAATTTTTTACGTTGGCATTTCTATTAAAAATATATTTAATATTCCAGGCTTTTTTTTTAATTTTTAGTTTAAATTTGAAAATTTTATTATAAGCTCATTTTTTCCCTTAAACAGAGCTTTCTAAAAACATTTTCACTGCAAAACCCTAAATTCTTAATTTTTGAAATGCTATGGCTTCAACAATATGTTGATGAGAACAAATAAAACACTAATCAGTGAGCTTTTTTTTTGGTGAAGTTTACATTAAACAACAAAAAATTGGCTAATGCTCAACAAAATATCTGATTATGTGCAATGTGAAGTTATATATTAGAAATATCTTTTCCAGAAACGAACACAATTCAATTCAGAGATTGTATAACTTCAGTCTTTCACATTTTGTTTTTGTAATACATTCGCATGAAAAAAGTTTTTTTAGACACAATTGTCTTTGACACAAACATTTGGCTATCTAGAATTTTTTAATAGAACAAACACAACTGCAAGTGTACAATGTAAAATTCAGCAGTGAATTCTGTTAAACATTAACAAGTGTATCATGGGTTAAGCATAAAATTAATCGGCTGCTTTGAGAAAGCATTGTTCACAAGGTGAAATTTTCAAATCTTTACCTACAAACAGTGTTAAAATGAATGCAACGTTATGTGAAAGATTGAAAATAGGCCTTCAATTACACACAATAGGACTGGGCAGTCAAAGCTTAAAAACACACCTTTCATATACATTTAACATAATAGTTTCATTAATAAATCATTAATCTGATGCATATTAAATGAAATTTATTTTATTTTGTTTATTTTTTAATTGCTTGTGAGTTACTAAAACAAACCACTCACTATTTTTTCTCAATGAAAAAGTATGAATCCCGATTAATAGCAGCTAAATTTACAACAAAACATTTAATACAATATAAAAACGATTTTATACATGCGTGATCACTAACGAGCAATGTGGATTTCTTGAATTGTATTGCACAACTTCCTAGTTGTATTAACAATTAAGAAAAATCTATTCAAAACACATCATACACAATTGTATATACATTATAAAACTGGTAAACATTTTTTTTTCAAGATATGTCAAATCACATACCCAACATTTGATTGATACATTCATTTTTTTCATTAAAATATTGATAAAAAACTGGTTAAAAGGTGAAATGAATAATACTGATTGACAATTAAAATATTGATTGTCTACATTGGAAAGATTAGATTGTATTCAATCTTTTAATTAAATCAATTTCAACGCGCTAATGCAAAGGATATTACAAATAACAATCAGACTTAGAAGTCTCCACAAAACCTAAGTAAAGTTCATACCTTACCTACACACCTTAACTAATTATATTCAAAAAAATATTGTACAATATTACACTAGAGTTAATTGTTTGTTAAACCTGTTAAATTTAAATATAACAAAAAACAGACTCAATGATTCTGGTGTAAATGGAACAACACTTGCATGTTACAAAAAAAATTTCATTATTATACGATAAATTAAAAGAAATCTGATAATTCTCAATTACAAATCAAAAAATATTTTAAAGGCCTAGGTGGAGATTTGTAAAAGTTGCTAATTAAATAATGATTTTTTTCCTGGAACTAAAGCACATACACACATTCAAATATATTTTTTATGTTAAAACACTTTACTACCATTGCATAACTAAGTAGAATTGTGAACTGAGATCATTTGCTATAAATTCATTTGAATTATAATTGTGTTCATAAGCATACATTTGCATACACAATTAAAATCTCAAATTAAAAATTTGACAACAAAATATGATTGTAAGTATCATATAGTTGGATTTAGTTGAAGAAAAAAAAATTATTTACATCTTTAAATTATAAGTTTACTTTGGTACACTTCGTAATGAAGCTTATTCTAGTGCTGTATTAATTTGCCAAAATCAACCGATTAAAACGAAGGTCGCTAGGCTTGATAAAAGGACTAGTTTTTAGAAATCACAAGACTTAAAAACTATTTTAAAAAACCGCTATATCTTAAACGTTTGCAATAAGAAATAATAAATTATTGTTGGCAACCTTAGTAACATCACAAAAGTTGCATCTGGAAGAGATTAACCTTAAAAATATCATTTTATTTAAAACTAGTATTATCTCTTCTTTTTCACATTTCATTTCTATCAAAAAGGGTCGTATGCCTCTCAATTCGGTGGCACAAATGAAAACAAACGAAGAGACGGAGGTGATGAAGGCTGCTCCTGATCAGAGAACTGCTCAAAATAGTATTGCGGAGCACTAAGATAGTCTATAAGTCTGCGAGGTAGTGGAAGAGATGATATCAAATCCCTCCGAACCACTTTTACAATTGCAAATCTGTAAAATTAAGAGAGAAAAAAATTTGTAAAACAATTTTAAATATTACTTCTATTAATTATTCTTTTTATGTAAGATCTTGGTTGAGATGAAAAAGTTAGTGGCATGTGTGAGGTTCGAACCCACAACCTTTGACTCAATGTTCTAACCACTTGAGCTATCGTGACTTCGATCCACTCGGACACCAACTCCACATCTCAACCTAAAACCTTTCGAATTTTCCCTCTTTTTGACATTTTCATGGATTCAAATCCCGATCATGACACTAACTTTTTCATCTCAACCAAGACCTAACATAAAAAGAATAATTAATTGAAATAATTAATATCGTCACTTAGACCACTAAAGATTAATGGTTGGTCTTGTATAAATTTTAAGATTTATAATAGGACTGTACCTAGACAGCAGACTGACATAGAATCCCCATACAAGACTTAATAGACAACAACTCAACAGAAGACTTGGAAAACTACGAAGACCTCTATGACCAAAATCTGACACTTGAACTACAAAAAGGGTCGTATGCCTCTCAATTCGGTAGCACAAATGAAAACAAACGAAGAGACGGAGGTGATGAAGGCTGCTCCTGATCAGAGAACTGCTCAAAATAGTAGCTCGGCTTCTACCGAGTCATCCAACATCCAGTCAAAGCTCCTTACTGTCACTAACCCCACTCTACACAACGACCAAAACATTTTTATTTGTCAACGAATTGATCTGTTTCCGATTCTAAAAGTTTCACGCCACCTTCTCGGTCCACCCTAACCCTACTCCTCTCTACATATTCCCATCCCGAGAACCCGCCACGTCATCTTAAATGTCGATGGTGTCAGGACCTCCTTGCCCCTGAAATCATACTGCCTGGTTGGTTTCTCATGGCATGTGTCCTCCAGGTGCATTAGGCTTAGTACACATGGTGTGTTGAATCGCACGATCGATCATGCGTAAATGGGCACTTGTAGAGAACTTATGAAGGAAATAGAAATTTTATGATGAAAGTTGAAGAAGTCATTTGACTGTGATATTATTTTCTCTATCGCCATTAAAAACTAAGAAAACTGCGACAAAAGAAGTATTGGGTCCATCCTATTTTAAGAGATAGATTCGCAAATAGTATGTTGTACTCTCTACCCAAATTATGTGACTATGAACCAACATTTTTCAATTATTTTAGAATCTCAATTAACTCTTGACAATTTTTTCCACTTGATTAAGGGTGATATTTCATTAAGGCCTCAGTGGATAAGGGATTCCATCCTGTCAGAAGAGAAACACGTCATAAAACATCAATAATGTTGATATTGGAAATCAAGAGTGCATTAACTTTTAAAAATACATTGGAGAACAAGTTAAACACTCGACATTAGACAAGTTTAAAAAAGCTCCATAACTTCTATATCATGCTGCCATGCAGAACACTCGACAGTAAAATCACCTCTAAATCACTGGAATGTGAAAAACATGGTAGTTGATGAGATATAGTAATCTGTGATGGTTGTGACAGATATGAGGAAGCTATAATTAATATAATAATTGCTACAACTTTCCACAATGCAGGTCTTTTTGTTCGATTTCGTCGATCATGAGATTAGTGTCAACAAGTTATATTTTGGAAATGATGATAGAAAAAAAAAATTCTCTGGTAAAAGACGTGTTGATCTGAAAAGACCAATTAGTTACTTTGTATCTCAACTTGGATGTGAAATGCGCGTAGTAAGAGGAATCTCAACTATATACACAATTTTTATGAAATGAAAAAACTGTGTCACAGGCAGGATACGAACCTATGACTTTCAGCTAAATACGCCGCTGCTCTACCACTTGAGATACCATGACTTTTGATCATCCATGCCACAAACTTCCCATTTCAACTCCCCGTTTATTCCAATTGTAAGCAAATCACGGATTCATATAGAATCAACATTTCAAAAAAATTGTGTATAACTAATTGAGTAATTATAATTAAGAATAAGCTAATAAAAATAATTAGTTAGTATTAATCTAGAATCACACCTGTGAATCGTACACAGTCCTGCTAATGTATTAAATCGTTAATAAAAGTGTTTCTATATGAATTACAATTGGGATAAATGGGGAGTCAAATGGGAAGTTTACGGCATGGGCGAACAAAGTCACGGTAGCTCAAGTGGTATAGCAGCGACATATTTAGCCAAAAGTCATGGATTTGAATCCCGCCTATGACACATATTTTTCATTTTAAAAATATTGTACAATTAATTGAGTAATTATACGAAGAGTCAAAATTTGTGTTAGATGGAAACTGGTTAATTTTTTTGTTTTTGTCTCTTGCTTTTTGAATTTGCATAAGGAGTGTGACCTCAGTGGAAGCCACCTAATCACATTGTCTGTGAGCCTATCTGGCCTTATCAATACCCTGTGTTGAATGCTGCTGTAATAGTTAAAAGTAAGAAAGAATGAAATAACAAAAACACATTATAGACGCCCAAACCAGTAAAGGAGACAATAATGACATCAACATGTTAAACCCTTATCCAAAAAATTGTATTATAATAGGTTAAATAGATCATTACCTGCAAAGATGTTGCAGACTTTGTATATGCTTAAACCTAGACACTGGATGAAGCAACTGAACCCTCATCGGTCCTAGTACAGGCCTGCGGTGAAGGAAAAACAGATACCTCCCACTTCTTGAATGTTCTACAGCCGTTTCAATGAACTCGACAATAGTCTGGCTTTTGAATTTTGTACACGAACCAAAACTGAAGTTACCTAATGAGATAATACAACGTTAATATTTTCTTGAAATTGTCTTGAAAGAAACTTTAAATTTACCCTGATCATGTTCGATTCGAACATGCCGAACACAGCCATTTAATCTGAACGTCAATGAAAATATATAATGATGATCACTGGAGTCTCTTACAATAAAGGATCCGTCTGGTTCATTGCTTAATATTTTCTCAGCGGCCTCACCACTTATAGGGCCCCAATACCAGCCATACTAAAGAAAACCATATTATTATGTAAAGAAACTTTATTTATTTTGTAATGCAATACTTACGTCTTTTACTTTTTCTATGCTAGAAGCAAAATCCATTACACTTTCTTCCTCTCTAGTTATTAGTGTTGGTATAGGAGATTTGTCAGGAAGCGGGGGTAAGGCGCGTTCTGAAAACGGAGGCACCATAGGCACCCCGAGAACAATGACACGCTCATTGTCTTTATTAGCGCTCTGCTTTCTGACACGAAACATATTGCAAATCGTCTGTTTCAACAAATGGGACAAACTATTTTTTCCACTGTTTGAAGCCTGTTTTCCTTTTTCTTCTGTTTTCACTTTTTTCTTGTGCTTTCGTTTGGGTTGTGCCTGTCTACCTTCCCCCCCTTGGGTTCCGTTGTACAGGGTTTGGAGGAACTGTCGAACTTCTTGCAAGGTCATGTGGACGGGTTCAGCGTTTTCAGGAGTGCTAAGTCGTTTACCTCGCTTATCGCTTTCTCGTTCAACAACAACCTCAGAAGTGATATGACGACGCCTTTTCTTATGGTTGTACCTGTTAAAATAATAAGAATTGTACTTTTTTTTAAAACTTGCAAATGTAATAAATGACACTGTAATTTGGATTATAGCATGGATTAAAGTAAATACGAAAAATACAAATGAAAACTTTCTAGCCTGGTAATAATGCAGTACTGATAAGATAAAAATGTTCACCATGATGATAAAGACTAAATCGCAATTTTTACACAATATCCAAATAAAATTAATTATCATAAAAATGTAACATTTCTTTTCTAACAATTTTTTTTTAGTTTCAAGTTTTGACCAATTGATTAACCAAAATTAGATTTATTTCTTACTTAAAATGGATAAAAACAAAAATAATTTGACCAGCTTTAAAAAAATTCTTTAAAAAACGGAAGCGTTTGCTTTTAGCATTTTGATGACTCATTATCATTAAAATCCATCAAATGGATGAATCATTTAAGAACTCAAAATTAGTACATACGATCGTAATTCTTTTGGTTTTTTTTAATATTTATTTTCCGTCTGCTCTTGATGTGTCAATTATATTTGAAGAGAAAGCAAATATTTAAACCAACACACATTAAGTAAACAATTTTTGAAGCATGCTTGCTATATAACTTGTTCACAATATTGTATAGTTTCTGAATGTCATTAATAAAGATTTTTAAAAAATTAACAAACAAAGTATAAAAAACAGCTTTGGCCTATCTTGTTTGAAACCAAAAACATAATAATAATAAATAAAATTATTTCAAACATATTTGACATTGAAACTGTTAACTTAAATGGATTTGTTATAAAAATAATTGTAAAATACTGATGATCTTGGTACGTTTATCCTTGTTGGGTTGGTCTGTTAGGCGTGACCTAATAAAGGGAGCTTGACAGAAATCAACCAAAGGAAGAAATTTCATGATTTAACAACATTATTTGAGTCAGAATATTTTTGTCACACAAGTATGACAAATTAAATACAAAATATCACATACCTGTGACGTTTTCTGTGATTTGACGGTCTTATGGTATCAATTGGAAGTGTGTAGATATCGCTGTCCAATGGTACATTGTAGATATCCGTTAAAACATCATGGGACATGGCTGATGTGATGAAGCTTGAATCGTCTGCACGGTTTGGAGCAGGTACGGACAGAGAGTTGTGACTGGACGACGTTCTCAACAGGGATGAAAGAGAAACTCCGGTCGAGCGTGCAGCAGGGGGCGTCAAAGCTCTCCGAGCCCAAGGTCGCGGAAGTGGAGAAGATATAGAGTCTTGAAACTCAAGAGGAGGCTCCAACCAGGTGTCTTTAATAGTGGTTAGGAAGTTCTGTTCGTCACAGACTGTCCCGTCTACCCCTTCACAATAAGATTGTTCATCTTCACTTTCAACATACTGTAATCAAATTGTTAAAAACAAAGAATTATTAAATAGCTGAAATCAAAAAATTTTTCATTCATCAATTCATTTTTCAATATTGTGTCATAGGAAGACCAGTGACAAAATAATCAATCGGTTTTGCACCTTAGGAACTAAACTGAATTCAAAGCACTGCCACTGATTTACAAAATAAAACACTTCAAAATGTATATTTGGAAATATAAATTTAAAAATATGAGTTTTTCTGAGCTAGTATACAACTGTAGTGTATATAAATGATGCTTTCTTTTCTGTTCTCATCTATGTATTTTATTTAAAGGGCTGCTTAGTTCAAATAACAATACTGAACTGTGAAATGAAAATGTTTTATATATAATTCAACCCATTTATCAAAGTATGAAAGTTAAGTTGAAATTCTAATGGTTTGATTTTTGAAATGGTATGGTCACAACTTCAGGAATCAGCTTAACAAGAATAGCTATTTAAATTGGTTATTCAGATATCGATTAACGGTCACTAATCTCTACACATTGCTATTTAAATTGGTGGTAAAATAAGTTAGAGTAAATAAGTTAAAGTAAATAACAGAAAAATAGTTGTTACTGCAACACAATTAATTGTAAGAAATGTTTTACTCTTTTTTTTATGTTAGACTGTAAATGCGACCATTCAACAAATCAATAGAAAACAAATTAGCATTAAAAATAACCACCTAGAGGGTATTAGAAACCCCATAAACACCAAAAAATAACAAAATACTAAGAGTTGTTTATAAAAGTTTTCATAATCACAGACTGAGCTAATCTAGTACTACCATAAATTTGGAATAGCAACCGGTTGGGCCATTGACAATAGGAACTAGTTGCTTAATGGAAGCACCCAGGAATTATAAGGTATTTACATACGGCCAGTTGTTGGGAAGAAGGGTGTCAATTGTCAGGCTTTAAAAATTTGCTTTTCCTTCCCTCCACCCTTGTTGGGGGATTGTATATAAAAGAAGATTGGAAAAACAAATCCGAGAACTGGTTGATTGGGTTTTTCTGAGATAAAGTAGTTAAAACAGAAACCCTTCCTAAAGTGAGAACTTCTCAGTTGATGAAATATGGGTTTGATCAATTTTGATCATCCTAGTCCACCTATTCTTAGAGGCGATCGTAAACTATGCTAAGGCACCTGACAAGTGAACCCTCATTAAGATAATTTTTCAGTAAAGTAAATTCAACCAAATAGTTTTTAAAAAAGTGTAAATTCTGCCAACTGAATAAACTACCCTTTTTTGACAATTTTTCGAAACACAAAATCAAAACTGAAAGAAAATAAGGTAACATGGATTATCATGTCCTTTTCTCTTGTATATTTTAGAATAGATGGATGTATCTTTTGGTACTATTAATATATACTATATAAATTACAACTTGCTTATTGTAATGTAAACCAAATTAAATGAGATCAGAAATTTACGCATTTTAATCAAAATTATTTAAAATGGCTTGAAAGAAAATCCACTAAACCACTGGAAAATCATTTAGGATCAATGAAATTTTAACTAACAATTTATTAAAAATATCAGTCATACACTGAAGATAATGAAATGCTGAAACTTGAAAAGAAGAAGTCTAATAATTTAACAATTTATTATCTATTTCACTTTTAATAATGCACATTACCTTCTTTGGCCTCGCGGAGGGCCTTAAGTCTCCTAACCATCAAGTAAATAAGCAATCGGATTTTCTCTTGTTAATCAGAATCCCATTCTTCAACTAGAGAGATTTGAATGTCTCTTTATCATCTCCCATTTGTGTTCTATACAATTCATGTCATGAGGACTTGCTGCATAATTCATTATGGTAATCCCTACATCATCCTGGTAACCAGCACTCATCTGTGAAGAAAACAGTCTCCCAGCGATATGCTTTTCTAATCATGCCTCTCCAGTAATGTAGAGCCTGACACAGGACGACTTAGAAACCAGGCTAATCTCAAGAAGCCTTTTGATGACCGTTTTAATGACGGCTCCAAAGTGCAGTAAGAGAAATAAAGCAATCATACATTGCAGTCAACCACTATTTTTTCTTCAAACGAGACTTCCTGTGGCCTTAGACCATTGTGAATAGTAAAGAATGGCACACCCAAGCTGTGTAATGGATGCTTCTAACATTGACAAAGCATCTGCTCATCTTAAAAACCATGCTTTAAAAATAATTAATTTTTTTAATCAAAATTTATCGTTTTGTTAAAGAAAATATTTTAAAAACCCAATTACTCACTCGGCCCTGGAAAGGGTGCAAATGAACTGATTTTATTTATTCTTAATCTATATAGTCATTAGTACATTTGGTATATAGTTTTGTCTCACAGTCATAACCAACTTATACGTACAATTCATGCAAATCTTAGGCAATCATTCTACTTTTCTTTTTCTTTTTTTTCAGTTGGGTATGTTGTTCGGTGCAGCTTTAAAGTTCTTCTGTTTATCTGTCTCCTGTTGGTAAAACAAATAACATTTTTATATACAGTAGACACTTGGTATCTGCAGGGGATACATGTGAAGCATCACCATGTAAAATGAGAACTGCAGATAATAGAAAACTTGTTTTTTTATTTCAAGTGTGGTCAAACTAAATGAATTGTACATGGATCGAAGTTTTCTTAAGATTTTTCTGGATAAAATTTATTTTCTAGCTTAACCTAAATGAATTTGTTAAAATAATTTTTTTTTCTGTTAAATAATAAAAAGGTTCTAGGATAACTATGTAAAAGAAATTAAAATTGCCTCATAAATTATGTCCTGTACTACGATTCATTATTGACAAAGAACTCGAATGTACATTGCATCTTCTACGAACATCAACACAAGATAACATTCGAGTTATCACAGTATAAGAGATAAAATAAAAGAGGAAATGCCGAAAAATAATAAAACCACTTTTTGCACACCACATATAATGAGAACTGCAGATAATAGAAAACACCTCGAATTTCAGGCTTCGAAGCATTTTCTTCTGCATCGAAGCAAATTTGCAAGCCAATCAGACATGTTCTGTATCGCATATGCCTATGATCAATGTTAAGTACGTATATTTCAATTTTTTCGTTAAGAGTTCAATTAGGACCAGTTGTTTTTCTGTGATTCATGTTCCCACTTTCTTCTAGAACTCAACTAGTCAACCACAAATGAGTTAGCGGATAACAAGTCTACTGTATATCCATCCGAAACAGCAAAACTGCATCTAAAAACTACGAGGTTCAAGACAAAGACAGTTCAACTAGTTAAAGAGGAAGAATACAAATAAAACTTCTCTATGTAATTAAACACTGTTGAATTCGATAAAACAGTTGATGTTAATATGGAAATATTGTAAGTATTAGTTACCTCGATTCCACTTGAAAGCGAATTGGTCCGAACTACCCCAGCTTTGTGTACTTGTGTCATGCCATTCCATCCAGAACAGGAAGGGGGCGATTCCATCATGTACTCAATCCTCCTGATACAATTTAATATAATTTATATTTTAAAAAAATAACACGATAATAAGTGAATAATAAACTTTACACCAGGTTATGCAAATATTGACTTTTTGATTTCAAGTGTCAGAAGTGGTCAAACTAAACGAATTGTACATGGATCGAGGTTTTCTTAAGATTTTCTGGATAAAATTTAATTTCTAGCTTAACCTAAATAAGTTTGTGAAAATAATTGGGGTTTTTTTCTGTTAAATAATAAAATGGTTCTAGGATAACTATGTAAAAGAAATTAAAATTGCCTCATAAATTACCTCCAGTACTACGATTCATTATTGACGAAGAACTCGAACGTACGTCGCATCTTCAACGAACATCAACACAAGATAACATTCGAGTTATCACAGTATAAGAGATAAAATAAAGGAGGAAATGCCGAAAAATAATAAAACCACTATTTACACATTTCCTCGGATCTTCCGCCTCGACGAAAACGATAAATTACATTTAAAAAATTAGAAATTTAAATTAAAAACACAGCCACGGCAAGAGAAACAACCCAGGAGTGACAGTTTGCACTTTGCTCTAATTTCTGAGCAACTCCCTCTAGGGTCCCGGCGCCCCATCGCATAAACCCAGTGACGTTAATTTAAACCGGTTACATTTACGTTATACATCTTATGTACAAGGATGCACAACATAAAAATATAATTTTATGTTAACGTTTGACCTGTTAAATATTTTTGTTACAGTAACAGGAAAAATTTTTCTGAAACCTTGTCTTGTACTTGAAGCAATTCATTAAATTAATAAAATATCCTTGTCAGAAATAAATTAATTAAATAATAAACAACTGAACTAAATCTTAAAAATGTCCTAGAAGTATGTTCACTGTGAGCATTTGTTCCACCAAAATTTTTAAAAAATCCTGATAATTATTCCTCCTATTTTCTTTCAGTCCTTCCTAATCCCAATAATTTTCCACACTGAGGTCCAACTCAATCAATCCAACTCTATGCACGGCTGTTAACAAAGAAAAATATTAAAGCACACAGATTTACGCTCTGATAGCCAGTGGCCATAAAGACACTAAATGCATATGCTTTCAACCTCAAACTTGTCTGGGTGTGCCTAAATCGCCTAATGACTCTGGAAAAACAAAACAAGATTACTATGAAGGGGTTCCTGTACTGTGCCTAACTGTAGCAAGTACCAGTTTTGGTGATGGTTCTTTAATCATGGGTTTACTGCGCCTGATACCTCTGGAGTTTGTTCACTTCTCCTATTGTTTTTTCGTGACCCATTTTAAATGGAGGAGTCTATGTTTATCTTTGTTTTCGCAAACATAGAATCTCTGGCCAGATTGTCTGTTTATTCAGCCCCAATATTCCTTTCTGCTCCCCAAATTTTGTCAGGTCATTCACCAACTATTTTCTATGTGAACTTTATACGTGTTTTTAAGACAGCTTGGCTGTGTGATCAGGTATAATTAACCTGGAAACTTCACTGGTTCTGGAGTGATCTGTATGCCATAATTACATTCGATTTCAACCTTTCTTCTTCTACTTTGTCGACTGTTCAGACTGTATACGAAGTTGCAAAGTTTGTTTTCTGGGATCATATAATCAGTACCTATTTTCATAAATTGGTGACTGATTTTATTTTTATTGCTGTATAATCGAATCTTAATCTTGTTATCCTAAGTATTGATTCTGTGCCCATGTATGCAGATCCTCATCAGGCTAGTTTTTCTGTTTGATGTCCTTACCTTATTTTGAAATGAAATAACCAATAAAAATATTCAATATTAGCTTGAATCAAAATAAATTTTCTTTTGTGTTGGTTCAGGCAGAAAGAATCGCTTATAATTTGAAATTTTCTTTGAATTACAAGATCAACATTCAATATTCCACCCACCAAATAAGGATAAAATTGAAACTGTAAAAATTCGAAATTGAGTTTACATTAAACATACTAACAACATTTTGATATATTTGCTCACGTAGACGCCTTTAAATTAAGGAAACTTTAAAATTTCTAAGTCTCAACATTCCGCCCACCATATTTTGATAATGTTTTCTTTTTCGAGATTCTCAATAATAAAAAAATTGCAAATGGATTTAACTTCAGAAGATTAAAAAGTTGGAAGCTTTTTCAATTTATCTAGAATAAACTGAACCATTTTCTAAAATTTAGCCTCCAAATACGTTTTTGTTGCAATAATTTTCACCCTCTTCTGACGACATAAAACCTGCCAGGGTCAGGGTCACGTATAACCTTCTACCTCGTGGTGCACGCATCTCTGGCACTGTTACTGTTTACTGTTGTTGTCCAGCTTCATTTCGACCGTTTTCTTCTAAATGTCAAATGCCTCCAAAGTCCAGGAAATCCCTCGCCTTCTGGCAATCCTGCGACTCCTGCAGCTGCGTTCTCAACGCTAAAGATCTCGAAGGACATTCTCTGTCTTGCCCACCGTCCAACACAAATTGGACCCACAGCTACATCCAGGATGGTGAGCTTTACGGCTTCGCTGAAGATATGGACGAAAAAGGTATCTTTGGCCTTTCCTCACTTTCATTATAAATGGAAAACATAAATCATCAGTTTTTAGCTTATGGTACGACCATCACTATCCTATAGTCTACATGGTGATGGCTGTAATCTGGCCATTACAGAACATCTTGGACTTTCCATGACCTATGGAGCTGGGTTGCTCTGCCAGAGATGTTTCAACATTTCAACATTTTCTGTGATTTTAAGCATTACATTGACCAAGAATTATATAAAAGACAATTGTTATGGAAATATTCTGCTATTACAGTAAATTAAAAAGAAAAAGGACCGATGATCGCAAAGGCTGATCAGAACAATAAAAACCCAGACTTAATCCACCAATAACACTGACACATGCACCCTAGCCCTCCCAACTTTATAAAAGAGACGACTCCGCAGAAATCACACAGGCTTAACCCTGAAGATAACGAATTCTGAAACTGATCAGTCAGACCAACCCAGCAAGGATAAGCAGACCAAAATGGTTGGTTTGGATCAAAAAAACAGTTTCAGTTTGCTGCATTTGAATACTACATACATACTTTGAATGCAATAATATTAATTTATTACTCTGTTTATGAGAGCATTTCTGTATACCGTTATCTATTCATTTACACTGTTTTAAATTTTTACTTTTTTTATTGCAGATTTGCCTTCCGATCTAAGACCAGATATGTTAGAAGCTCTGGTCTTTTTGTCTCAATCTGCCATGCAGCTTTGCGGGTTTGTGATTGGTTTTCCAGTAGTACTGCAAATGGGAAGTGATGTCGTTTGTAAAAAAGCTTGGCCGACATCAGAGGGGAGTCTCACCCGAATCAGACTTTCTGTTAAAAGTAAGCCTTGAAATCAGAGCAGGTGGGAATTAATCAGCAGTTTGTGAATTGTTGGTTCGTAAATTCTGTTTGTAGATAATCAATAATGATCAAACTGTTGATCAACATAAGCTGCTGAATTTTAAACAGGGTTTTTTTTTTTTTTTTTTTTAAACCAACTTTACATATTTTAGGCCTGGAGTTTGGCTGGAACCATAAATTAAATTCTAATCTTATTAAAGTGAGTAAGCTAATTAAAAAGCCTAATTTAGCAAAGGAAGTTTATTTTGACTTTGAGGACAGGAATGACATTTCTGAGAGTGACATGGAGATTTTGAAACACTTAATACAATCAAAAACACGTCACAATATTTATTCACCTGGTTTTCATGTGAAAGTATCTTTTTACGGGAAATGTTTGCCAGTAAAGCTTATATCATATAAGTCAGTGACTGATGTAGACGATGTAAGTGCTGAAATGAGTAAACTCACTTTGAGCGAAGAGTACTTTACACCAACAAATGTAACAACCTTTAAACTAATGGAAAAACAAAGTGAGCAAAAGAAGATAAAAAGGAAATTGAAATTTGGAGGGTATCGTTTTATTATTGATGAAATCATGAAAAATATATTTTTTACTTTTAATTCAAAAAATTCTTTATCAAGTAAGGTTGAATTTTTTTTTGTTAAGTTAAAAAAATATTTATTTGAATGTGTAAATTTAAGGGAGTCGCTGTTGCGGAATTTTAATTTATGGAATACATGGTACTGGAAAAACATTACTTACGAATTATTTAGCTCAAGAAGCCAAAGTTCCGACTGTAGAGGTGAAGGTAATAAATGTGTTAAACCTTCTTTTAGTTAAACTGCATTGTAATATAGGGAATGGAACTTTTCAGCAAATATTACGGAGAAACGGAAGCTAGACTTAGGCAGACGTTCGAATCGGCTGTTCAGCAGTGCCCTTCGATTCTGATCATTGATAACATTGAAAACCTTTGTCCAAAAAAGGGAACTGATCTAGAAAGAAGAGTAGCATCAACATTACTTAGCCAATTTGATGCTATTCATGATAAAAACATAGTTGTCTTGGCTACAAGCACAAGAACGGATGACATTGAAACTTCCTTAAGACGGCCAGGAAGGTAATGAGAAGTAATGAGAATTACTTTTATTTTGTTGTATCCAAACTCAAGATTATATCTAATATACAAATTATATTTATACATATTAACGTTGTCAATTGTGATGAGGTCTTAGTCTAATGCTATATGCAGCGCTTTTGACTGAAGCATTTATCACATCGATTTTTCCAGGCTTCTAATCCACGGTAGTTCAATGAGGTATTTATCGCGTCAGTTAAGAATAACTGCCAACTACAAGAAATTTCGGCGATCAGTTCCCAAAGAGGAATTACAAGAGAATAATCTACAAGAAATAAATTTACTAATTTTTTAAATAGGCATATTGTTGTAATTTTCATTAGTCAATAAGCTTCTCATTTCCCACAAAGCTTTTTGACCTCACCGGTCAATTTTTCTCCAATTATTTTCTGTTTTGAAATTCAGTAAAATCAAAAAGACTAAAAAGCCAACAAGTGGTGGTATGAACTATTGTAGGAAACGCCATGTGTATCAGGGCAGATTGGATGGTAACTACTGAACACGAAGCATTTTCAAAATAGACTCATAGACACACTGCAACACATCAGCCCAATGCTACAACATAATTGACACACCGACTCAATTTTTCACTCGATAAACACTTCAGTCAAAACCGCTGCTTGTGTCATTGTCCTTAGACATGTTTAATCTGTTGCTTGGTCTGCCTAACCATCACAGATTCATCTCAGGAAAGTTTTCACAATGTTAAGTGGATGGTTTGTAGGAATAGGAGATAAATCTATCAACAATAGCATAAGGATAATCAGAGATGATCTAGCCACATTACCTATTAACTTTAGCAATACTGCCATTTTTGCATGTACAGTTTCTTATTTAATGTAAATTCTATCTTTTATTTTGTTAAACTTATACTTATTGTAGGTTGGAATATGAGTTTGAAATTCCAGTTCCTACACCTAATGACAGGCTCCAAATATTGGAATCACTGGTCGATGATGAGAGATTGAAAGAGACAATAAATGAGATTTCTCATTCCACACATGGTTTCGTAGCAGCAGATCTCGCATCTGTAGTTACAAAAGCTATCTGTAGGGCGACACTTGAAAAAAGGGATTCTATTTTTCCAGAGGATCTTTTTTGGGGATATTCACAAGTTAAACCATCAGCGATGAGAGAAATCTCGATACAAATCCCGAATGTAAGTTACTGTCGTTGTTATTAAATTGTAACTTTAAAAGAAATTTTTTCAAGGTCAAATGGTCGGATATAGGCGGTCAGGAAGATTTAAAATTAAAATTACAACAATCTGTTGAATGGCCTATAAAATATCCTGACAGTTTTAAAAGGCTGGGAATTAAACCACCCCGAGGAGTGCTTATGTTTGGTCCCCCAGGGTGTTCTAAAACTCTTGTCGCTAAAGCTTTAGCAACTGAAACAGCACTCAATTTTCTCTCAGTGAAGGTGATTGATACCATGCTTAAATGTTAAATTTGGTGAAAATTTACCTGCATTTTTAGGGGTCTGATATATTCTCAAAATGGGTCGGGGAGTCAGAGCGTGCAATGAGGGACTTATTTAAAAGGGCTAGGACTGTGGCACCGGCTATAATCTTTTTGGACGAGGTAGATGCTTTGGGTAGCGAAAGAGATTCTTCATCTTCTGGTGGAAGCACAGTGCATGAAAGAGTATTATCGCAACTTTTAACCGAAATGGATGGTATCCAGCCATTAGATAACGTAATAACAATCGCCGCTACAAACAGACCTGACCGGATTGACAAGGCGCTGCTCCGTCCTGGAAGATTGGATAGATTGATTTATGTCCCCTTGCCCGATGATAGAACTAGGAGGGAAATTTTCAAACTCAAGTTTAAAAAGATGCCTATCGACAAATCTGTCGAGTTGGAAAAACTTGTTCATGCAACGGAAGGCTATTCTGGAGCTGAGGTTTATCAATATTTCATATAAAAAAATCAAGTGAATATAAATTTTAAAATAATTTGTTTTAGGTTGTGGCTGTTTGTGAAGAAGCTGCCATGCAGGCTTTAGAAGAAAACATACACGCTTGTGAAACAACAATGGCACATTTTGATAAAGCTGTTGATATAGTGAAACCAAGAACTCCTAGTTCCTTAATCAAACTCTATGAAAATTACATAAACAAAACGTGATTTATAATATCTATTTTTGGATATGTAAAAATGTTCTAAATTGTTTTAAAAAAACCATGTGCAATTCAAAAATATATACTTTTATATAAAAACCACTCATTGGATTAATTAAAATTATTAAAGTTCTTCAAGACACATACAACACAAATACATACATAGTTTATCAAAATCCTATAAATTTATTTGTATTCATTGTAATTTGATATATAATATATTGTCTTTAATTTAATGAATTTCATTCAGTTGATTTATAATTGAATATATTAATTCATCGGGCAAAAAGTAGGCAGGCCATTCAAAATTGTTCCCTTTATTGACCCCTTTTAGCTGAGTAAATATTTTCACAACCTAGTTTATAGAGGTGTATGGATTGAAACATTTGCTGGTATTCATAAAGAAAATTTAATTTAGCTATCTTTGCTATACTGGGTGTTCCATTAAAGATGCCCAAATCACAGGGATAAAGTAAATAAAAAATAATAAAAAACATCCAAAGCAAAAAAAAAATTAAATTTATTTCTAGCTTATAAATAAGTAAATTGTGTGCCATGAAAATATGATAAAATAAGCCTTTTATCTAATATCAAAAATAAGCCATTTAGTATTATTTTCAATCAAAATTCAACATTACACATTTACCGACTACTGATGTTGAAATCAACCTCAACTTCGATTGTCAGTTTGGGTTAGGTCATTAATGACTATAATGTGGCGAATTAATGATCCAACAGTTAAAAGTAACTTTATCTAAGAATAAAATACATATGTTTTTTTAGTTGGTCCTTGTTAACCAAAGTAATGATTTAAATTTATTTATAATTTTTATATAAAGTGTGGTCGAGATGAATGAATGAAAAATTAGTGTCACAGGCTGTATTTGAACCCACGCCTTCCGCTTCTATACCCCGGTGCTCTAACTGCTTACGATATTGTGACTTCAGTCCACGAGACACAACTCTTCATCTCAACCTACAACTTTTTCAAGTTTCCTTCTTTTTGCCATATATTCAAATTTCATGTAATCGAAAGTCGTAGGTTGATATGGTTTTAGGGGGATTTTTTCAATTTTAAATGATTTATTTTAACACAAATGTCAAACAAAAGATGCTGTTTTTAAATGCAATATTACATTGTGAAAAATTAAGAAAATCAATTTCTGTATATAAAAATATTTTAAAATAAAATATGTTAATATTTTATTAACACACACACACACATATATTTGTGATATAATATATCACATGTGTCATGTGATATGATATATATATATATATATTTTTTTTAATGTCATTTTTGCAAAGTTAAGCTTAATTCCTAAAAGTAGCTTAAGCTCCAATATGACTCGTAACATTTTTTAGATGATGAGAAAAGTGTAGAAAATTAACTGTATTTAAAAGTTTAAAAAAGAAGTTCATTTGTGAAATAATATTACAGCATATGACAGATTAATGATACTTGAACAAAAGTTGTACCAGAGGGTGTTTTTAAAAATTTTCAGTAGTCAACAACAAACACTGGCTTGGGAAGATCTCATTTATACAACAACCCTTTAATTTTTTATTTATTTATAGGTATCTCTTAGAATGCGAGGTCGTTTAAAAGTGGATCATTGATTAAGGAAGATGAAAGGGATTTTCAGATGATTAACTTAACAGGTTCAAAGAAAATGCTTTGATTTTGATTGGAAAATGATTAATTAATTAATTCTAAATTATCCATTAATTTATAATAATTTGGCATATCATCTTTTTTTAAATTATTCAAGTCAACATGAGATAAAAATATAAATTGAACAACTCAGTAGCCAATTTATTAACAAAATATTGGCATGGGGTGATTTTTTCCTTCCCATTTTTTTTCATTATGTTTATTAACCTTTTATTGTTGTCCTCTTGCTAGTTACTTCTTCATATTTATTGTTAATAGTAGATGTTTTTAAACATTTAAATTGCAGTGTATGTCTGTTTCAATTCTTTATTGCAATCAGCAAGATGGGATGAGATAAATTATATTTTCTCAGTTTAATGCTTTCACGTAATAAAGTTGTTATTATTATTAGTGGACAAGCAAAAGTTTATTGTTTTCATAGAATCGCCTGAAAGATAACAGAAATATAACAGTTAAAAACAGTTATAGATATCGCTCTGATGGGGGGGAATCGATACACCCTTTGAAAAAATAATTATTTAAATTTTATTGGAAATAAAACGATTTAAAACTATGTTTTTATTTTATTGATTTGCATAACATTGCCAGGGAGTAATTTTACTGATTGACTGGTAATCAATACTGATTGGGTAAAATAATAGGGATTTACTCAATTCTTATCCCTTAGTTATTGAAAATGTTGGCTTTATTTGTTTATTCATGCTTTATAAACCTTAACGTTTCCTACCTTATTACCTTATCCTGAAATGCCATCTGCCTGACTGTTGTTTCAGAAATGGGTTCTTGGAAGTCAGACATACTAGCTGGCACCCCACAAGGGAGCATCCTTGGTCCCATCCTTTGTATCATTTATACTGCTGACCTAAATATACACCCTAATTTCATCAATACCACCAACACTAATGTATTCAGCTACGCCATTTTCGTTTTTAATCCCAAGATTTGCCTAGGATTCTTCATGAGGTAATTAGCGATATTTTACTTTTTGCTGGGGTAAGGGGAGGGGGTTAATTATTAATTATTTCTAGGTATTTAACCTCATTTTTTAGTTACAGTATTTTATTATAGAATCATAATTGAATTTCTGTTTCTTTTCTTGACGAAAAGAATTAGAGTAGTTTTTGAGGGGTTTGCTTTAAGTCCCCATTGTGAACACCGTTGTTCCACAAATTGGGTGAGAATGTCATCTGGTTTGTGTATGGATTTCTCTTTCATTTAAATTGCATATGAGATCATTCACTTCCACATTCCACAATAGAGACGAGAGTATTCCTCCTTTTTATTTCGTAAATCAACGCGCGATTTTTAAAAAAATCATAGCTCTATGAATAACATGTATTTCAAAATGGGTCAGCATGCTCTCTATAGATAAAAACGTAAACGCTGTGGCTAAAATAATGCATGTTATCTTAAGATTAGAAGGTTTTAGAGGCTGGGAACTCCGTAAAAAAAAAATTCAATCTGTAGTCATCAAAGAGTTAAGGTTAAAGGGAGTCGGCGTCTTTATGACCTAACGCACCGCGACCAGTATTAGTCTATTGTGCCATCTTCAATACTACCTAAAAGAACTCTGTTAAGCTTAAGGCTTTTTATAAGACTTTAAAATCTTTTTAAGGACTCCCATGTGAATCCTTTCAGCTTTGGCTTTTCCTTACTCAGGAGTAACAATCTCTGCCTGCAGTCTTCCACAACAGAGGTTCCCGGTTTCTTCTTAACCCTGGTAATATTTGCACAAGAAAATTTCTCCTGCTCCGATGCTAATTGAGTCGGCAGTCCTACATTAAATCCTAGCCCTTATCAGTTCCAGATTTGGCAGTTTTGATGTTAGTATATGGGATGATCCTTTTATGATAATACAATTTCATTGAACGGAGGACTTAACCCATAAGACGGATGACTTTGCATATGGTGAGAAAAAAATTAACATCTTAATGAGAAACATTTAGTAAAAAATGTGAAACATGTTGGTGAGTACGTTTTAGTGTGGAGTTGTATGCCTCTTGTGTAAGGAAGCAAGAATTTAACGACAGAGAAACGGATCAGTTCTTTTTCTTGGTAGTTTAAAAAATAATCTAAAGGCTAGTGCTCATAAATTTGGCCTCAGGGGGGTTTATTTCTAGCTAGACAATAACCGCACGTAATGATAGACAAGTTAAAGAATAGTTTAGTTAAAATAACTCAATCGCCAGCTATCAATCCTATTAAACAACCAGGGGTGAGCTAAAAAGGAAAATCGCGTTAAAAATAAATGCTTCAAAAGAGTAATTATTCAAGAAAGGAATTCAATTGGGTTGAAAAGATTAAAAAATCAGTGGGGGGGGGCATGGAAAAACGTTTACTCAAAGTCATCGGAGAAAAGGATTACACAACTTAGTAAAATATTTATAAATTTACAGAAATTTTAATGCTTAATAGTGATGATTGTTAGTGTGAGGAGACTTCTTATCTTTTTGTGATTATTTAAAATAAAACTCCAGTGTCGTTCAGGGAAAAACGATGACAGCCGCAATTCTTGTATTTTAATTTCACAATTAATTTCAATTAAGTAGAAATATAGTAAAGCATTTTTCAGAATGTATGTAAGAAGAATACATTTGTGAGTGCGTTTTTTTCGTGAGATCTGCGAGGTGAAAAACAAGGTCCGCTTATTCTCGCGTTTGTCCCATTGAATAAGTTTGTACTGAGGGTAAACATGTCAAACGGTCCAGTTTGTCAAAGTATGTTCGGCCGGTTTAGCGGTTTTGATGGAGTAAATTTTTTACAATTTATTTTTGTGTTCATATGTATAAACTGCTTAAAAATGAATAGGGTCATTGCCAATGTTCCTAGGTTTTTTATTTTGTTTTTCTTATAAATTTCATTCAAATTTATTAGAAATTATTATGTTTTTTATTGAAGGAAAGTTTAATTAAGTGATTTTGAAAAATCACAAAATAAAATGACTTAATTCCATAATTTTGTTTATTGGACACAATTTTTTTTAAAATTAGTACCGTATATAATGTCCTCTGTTAGGAAAAACCTCTGTGCACCTGTTAGACACACTGTTAATAAGATTGTCACTAATTTCACAAGGAATTTCACTCCAAAGATGTTGCAATATTGCACTCAGCTGTTGCATTGAAAAGCCTTCTCTGCAACGCATCCCAAATGTGTTCAATGGAATTGAGGTCTGTTTACAATGGGGGAATGGGTAGATGGGAATTTTCGAGATTTTCTAAACACTGCTGAACAACTCTGCCTCTATGAAGTCTGGCATTGTCATCTCATCAGGAAATCGAAAATCGGGAGCGATGTATTTCTCTATAATTTCTTGGATATAACAGACTGCACCGAGGTTGCCTTCAACAATATGGAGTCCAGTTTTCCTCCAGTGTAAACCCCGCCCAGATCATTGCACCGCCTCCTCCAAACTGCACTAAAGGTAGCACGATACGCATTCCCAGTTCTCGGTAGACTCTTCGGCGCCTGCTGTCACTTTACAGTCAGAAACGCAATTTATCCGTAAACATGCATTCCAATATTGGTGTGATCTTCTAGGCACTCGCTGCACCATGTTCTTTTGAACTTATGGTGGGGGCAGTTGTTGCAGGTCGTCTCAAAGGGGAATACGATGCGAGGCCAACTTCCTCAAAAGTGTGGTTGTTGTTTGTGATGATGATTGTGATGATAAAGGTCTTGCCAAAACATCTTGTACTTCATTTAGGATCTGGAAGGCACTATGTAAAGGGTTTCGTCTCGCAGCAATGACAAATTTCTGTCTCCCTTAGCGTCGTAAGGTCTGATAATGTCCTCCTATTGGCACTTCCAGTCTCTCAGAGTCGGGCTAATAAAGTTCGGGAGACGACGCACTGAGAAACGCCAACTGCCTCTTCGATATCAACTTGACGTTGGCCTCGATGACTCATTCTCACAATACTATTGCGAACTTCTCAAGACGATGCCTTTCCATGGTTAAAGTTACTGCTACTAATTACTAAGATTTAATGGTTGTTCTATCTAGAGTATTAACTAGTTATACTTTTTTTTTCATTGTGCCTAAATGATATTTTGGTTTCTTGTGCCTGTTCTTTATTTTTCTGCATTAATGCAATTTTTTTGCACTCACTGGTTTTCGCGTACTGATGATGTTTTCTCTCGAAGTTTGCACATGTATTTTGTATTTATTGACGCTTTTATGACTAATTTTATGACTTCGTGTTTCTGCGATTCAATGAATTCATGCAGAACCCTCGTTGGGTATTGTCGTCAAATTCATTGTTCAACATAAATGCCAATGGCCAACGCAATTTTTGTATAAAAATGACGGTGTCTTTTAATTAAATTCGTATTAACAATTAGAATATGAACACACATACGGTCCTGTATTTATTACAAATCTTAAAAAGATGTACTCTAAATCCAATTTGTCTGTCAGACAAAAATGATTGGTTACTTCCAAATTTCAGGTTCATCACCCCTCAAACAACACGGAGAAATATGATGGGTTTTATTTGTTATAGAAATTTAAGGATTCCGTAATTAGATAGCTATGAGTTAGTTGATGCTGCGTGTTGGTGTACGAGACGGTGAACCCATTCTGAACCTGCACTGGAGTCACTTATTGGGTCCGTCTTCTCTCGCGGGTTTGTTGAACTATTCAAACGATTTTCGGCGTTGTGCCATCTTCATTGATGAACTGAACCTCCGTTTCTTCATTGAAGATGGCGCAAAGCCGGGTCGCGTTTCAGTAGTACAACAAATCCGCGAGTGAATACGGACCCATATGCTGGACCAAATCCTGGTTCAGCATAATTTTGTAGTTGCTTTGATTTTTTATTTTATTTACTTTTTTATGGGTGAAACAAAACACAAATTTACAAACCAAAATGCATATGAAATTCATCAAATTTTGTACAAATTATACTTTTTTTGTTTGATGTTCAAATTTATTATTTATTCCAATTGATTATTTTACATAAATTTCAAACAAATTATAATTTTTTCCTGCTGACAAAATTGGTTGATATACATACTTACCAGCAATAATTCTGATTTTAATCTTTATAATATTAATTGTGTGTGGTGATTAGTGACCGTTAGTCGATGATTATTCAGAATTCGTGAGATCCACACATCTCACGATTTCTGAATAATATTATCTAATCATTTTAAAAAATTATCAAAACATTGAGAGTTATATTATAGATTATACATTTTTATAAATATTTTTGTTGGATATTTCGCAGTATTTTAAAAAATAATGTAAGACTTTAATATATATCATTAAATTGTACGTTATTTAAAAAAACAAAATTCTTATTCGTTGAGGAACCGAGTCCCGTTTCAGCACTGAAGATGGCAAATGCCCAAAACACGTTTGAGTAGTTAACAGACCTGAGATACTTGGATCCGATAAGTGACCCAATGCCGGTTTAGCATTAACAAGTAGTGTCAGATGTTAGTTTGTAAATACTTTTTCCAATGTAATGTGAATTTTGTCCTTTTAATGTCTGCTGCTGTTGTGTTTTGTTTTCCTATTATTCGTGTGGCACTGTGATTTAAATCTTCCTCGTAGTCCGCTGTCAGTGTTTTTTTGTATTGATAAGTGTATTTAAGCTCTGTCTTAATAGTCTGAAGGGGTATTTTTCTTGAAACTTTTGTAAGAATATGTCAGTATGGATGTCTGACAGGCAAAGCTAGAATATTGGAAGAATAGGATAATTCTAGGGTCTGATAAAATCAAGATATGTTTTTACGTTTTAAACAAATGAATGTTATTTGGTTGTTAATTAAATCTAGGAACTTTTGGAGATATTTTTTCATTTAGTCATCAAGTGGTTTATGATAATCACCGTGGCAATGTATTAATATTTATATGCGCCTTTTATGTCGTGTTGGGTGGAGAGGTGGTGGTTCTGGGTCTATCCTGGGGGTGGCGAGGATCGTCTGGCCGACGGTAGTGGGGGCGCGGTCGGAATGATTCAGTCTTGGAGAAGACCTCCGTCTGTTATGTCATGTTAACAGGCTTAGCTCAGCTCAAGGTACGTTGACACAAAGGCAAACCCTTCAATTGATGTTGTGTCCGAATGGAATGCAATCTGTGTATTAATGTCTTTGTGTAATGAGCCAAGTAAAGAGGTGCCTGCTGTGAAAGGATATGCAAAACGCCTCCTTCTGTCGACTATTTCCTTGGAATAAAAAATACCATTCTCAACTCACTTATGCGCTATTCTCTTCCTTAAATGTAAACACCATGCTGCACTGCTTGAACAATAATAACGATAATAAAATTATGTTTGTTGTACATCTCCTTCATCATCCTTGACCACCTCATCGTACCGAGTGTACATAAAAAATACCCCCGCCCTTTTTACTATTTATCCAATTTTATATATTGATTGTGTACTTTTACCATTGTTTACAGGGTCGTAGTGTTAACACATAATTGTTATTGTTTTCAAACAGCTTTATCGGCTTGACCTGAAGCTAAAAATCTAAAACAATGACGAGAATGTTGAAATAAAGAATATTATCAAAAGAAATTAAATACACTTCAAATTTATACATTCAAACATTGATATCTAATTTATTTTCAATGGCGAAGTAAGCCGACATGCAAAATAGTCGTTTTAAAAGTTTCATTATCTCAAGTGATTCAGGTCAACTTGAAAATTAATACTTTATAGTAATTTCTTCAAATTTGTTCAACTGTTTCAATGACATTTTTTAACAATAAACATATAAATGAAAAGAATCGTTGAAGAACATAAAACCTCTTATACCTGGAAAAATAATAATGTAAACCACCAAATCAAAACTTTATAATATTTTCAATTATAAAATGATAATTATTTAACATATTAAACATGTCAAAAACATAAAATTGTGTTTTCGTTTTTCTTAGCCAAAGAACAAACTTTACTCCATTACATATAACTTAAAAGAGCGTCAGTATTGTTTACATCAGTACGATCATGTAAGCATGTTTTTTCAAATAAACTACAATTTGCTGAATGCGGTGCTTTTCAAAAAAAAAAAAAAATAATAATAAAAATAAAATAAATAAATAAAAAAATTAAACGTTCTGTTTTATAAAATTTGCATCAAAATGTGTCGACGAATTCATCCTAATTTAAATTGTTTTGGGTATGTTGAAAGAGTCAAAGTGTCAAAAGGTTTTAACATATTAGCCAACCGGCTAAACACCTCGGCTTTGTAACAATTTAAATACATAAAGTGTAACTTTTAAATAACCTTTGAACAATTATTGTCGAAAATGTGGAATTATTTTATTTAAGGTTAACGTTAAAATCGATATCCGTTGAGACCTCTAAGCTCAAGTATTCCCATATACGGGATTTAACAACCAAATTCTCGTTTTCCAATTTTATTCCTTCAGTACGTTTTATTATTAAAAGTCTTAAAATAAAGTAACTGATTATATGTTATATAAATAATATACATTTGAAACCAATTGTTTGTTTTAATTGGGCAAGAACTAATTTTCATAAAATTTTACTAGCTACCTGTTTACCAATAAGAATTTAATTCTTTTAAATAACATAAAATGTAATGGCGTATACTAAAACTTAACATTATTCCTTTAAAACACTGCAAAACTTCCAACAAAAAATATTTTTATAAATTTATAATCTAAAATTTAACAGCCTTCTACCGCTAAATGTATGTAATCCAAATTTTTATAAATGATTAGATATTAATATTATAACAATTAACATCAGAATTATTGCTGGTAAGTATATCAACCAATTTTGTCTGGAGGAAAAAATTATATAATTTGTTTGATATTTATGTAATAATATTCAATTGGAATGTAAATATTAAAATTTTACCATAAAATAAAAGTATAATTTGTACAAAATTTGATGAATTTCGTATGCTTTTTGTTTGGTAAATTTGTGTTTTGTCCCACCCATCAAAAAATAATAAATAAATAAAATGAAATAAAAAATCTAAGCCGCTACAGAATTATGCTGAGCCAGCATTTGGTCTAGCATATCGGGTCCGTATTCATTCGCTGGTTTGTATAAATACTCCAACGCGTTCCGGCATTGCGCCATCTTCAGTCGTGAAGAAACGAGACTCAGTTCATCAATGAAGATGGCACAACGCCGAAAAGCGTTTGAATAGTTCAACAAACCCGCGAGAGAAGACGGACCCAATAATTGACTCCAGTGCCGGTTCTGCGTGAGTTCACCGACTCGTAGACCAACACCTAGCATTATCACCTCATAGCTATCTAACTATGGAATCATTGAATTTTTATAACAAATAAAACCCAAGATATTTCTCCATGTTGTGTGTGGGGTGATGAACCTGAATTTTGTACTCGATCATTTTGATCTGACAGATCTATTGGATTTAGAATATATCTTTTTAAGATTTGTAGAAAATTTATTCTGAACCATAGCGAACCGTATGCGTGTTTATATTCCAATTTTTCATACAAATTTAACTAAAACGCACCGTCATTTTTATATAACAAATGCTTTGGCCAATGGCATTTTTGATGATGTACAACGAATTTGACTTAAAAAAATTTATATTTCGACAACTTTTGATGGTTGATTTATAAAATATAAAGCACCTTAAACAATTGCCTGTACAATTAAAATATATTAACCACAGAAAGCATATCCAGGAGTAATATTTCTTCCTTTCATAAAAACCATTACTCTTGAATAAAACGATTTGTGTGTTGACTTCTGAGCCATTCGTCGTTTATTTAAGTTTCAAATCATTGTAAACTGTTTTTGACAATATGCTTTATACATATTAAGTATATGTTTTCTTTCTAAATTCACTTCATAAAAATTGCCTTTCCATTAGAGCAGTTTGTAATTGACATTGACATTTACCAATGTTTAATCATTTTACGAATTATGAAAGGAAAATGCATTGTATGCATTTTTAAATACAATACTTGAAATAGGTGGGGAAAACGTGTTTTCAATCCAGCGCAAAAAATTCTATTTTTTTGCTGTGGTAATTCCTATTTAAGGCCTTTAAAGTATGCTTAAAATCAATTCGAATAGTTTTTTCAACAAAAAAAGTATTTTGGCCTACTTTGCTGGTATCATTTCTGGTTTCTGTTCATCTAATCTCATCTAATACGATCTTTCATATTATTTTCTTATCCCAAATTATAAAAAACCAGATCGATTGGTATATAATAATCCTTGAAATGTTGTACAACAAAGATATAAAGCAATATTTTAGTAAAATATGTAATTTTTTTATTGTTCTCGGCACCTAGTTCTAGGTCTACTGGCAAGAACGCTATGTCACGTTTCTGATATGTTTTGTCCTGGTATCACCAAAAAAAGTGATTAAAACAAACGATTTCACTTCCGTAGGCTTTTCTTGTTAGTTCAACTTCTTTAAGTATTCCAAAGTTTGAAAAGTTTATCTATATCAGATTCTCGAGTTTTATGTTAAATCGTTTAAGGTTGGGTTCCAGTTTTTTCCGGAAAAAACCCTTGAAAATATTAAAATGCTGTATTTTGTTTTAGAAAAATCACAACAGGAATATAATAATGTCAAGCTATGGTTTTAATAAATTTAAAAAAGGTTTGTTTTAAAGAATGTAGAAAGGACGTTGGTGTCTGCAACGGTTAAGGCGTCGTCAAGCACGCGTCACTGTAAAGTAAAGGTCCGGAGTTCGAATCCTGCCGTTTGACCTGAATTCGAACCAGACTTACTAACAAATGTACATTTCGTTTCAAAATCACCATCCCCTCGAGGGTTAAAAAACCTTGACTGATCAATTCACACTGATCAAAAATGAAAAAACAAGTATTTATTGATTAAGCCAATGAAAACTAACAATCATCTTCCTTTATTGAAACCCCTGGTATTTGTTAATTATAGTCATGAAATGAATAGGAATCTCAATTAAAATAAGTCGATTTATTATTTAGGCTATAGTTGAAATACCAATATAAATATTTGATTCAATATCTTCTGTTAATTAATCCTCGTGAACAATTTGTACATGATAGAGATAATCATTGGATGAAAGAGTTTATTAAAAAAAACAGACAAAAAGCTCCCATCTAACGCATGACAATGCATGTATACACGTAGTTAGTTGTGCCCAAATTGTCATTATTGACTTGCAAGCTCATCGGCTTGTTTTGAAACCCATTAAACAGACGGCATAAGCAGCTTTCAGCTCTGTAATGAATACTACAATGTTTTAAAATATAAGGAAGTCAATGTGCTGCAGGCTTTATGTGAACAAATCCACGTATGAAGGAAAACTTTAACTATTAATCCATTTAGTTTGCAGTGGTCAATTGACCAAGTTACTTCTTTCTATTAATTATTCTTTTTATATAAGATCTTCGAATCCCGCTCGTGACACTGGCTTTTTTATCTCATCCAAGACTTTACATAAAAAGAATAATTAATTGAAAACTTTTCTGTTTAATCAACTGCTTTTTTACAGGAAGTAACAATATTTTCTTCAAATTATTGTTAGTTTAAACAGAGCAGTGATAAAATCTTTCAAGTGTTTTAGTTTATATGATTTCGTTGTCAACAAGAAACAATTTCTGGGTCAGAGGTGAAGTTAACTTTGAAGTTGAAACGTATAAAACTTAGTACATGCAAGAAATGTTTGTTTAAACTCAAGCTATAAAGTTATAACGAATGTTGACATATTCCGTATAAACTCAGGTATTATTCATCGGAGAAATTCCAAAAAGGTTTTGATCTGTCTTCTTCGTCTATAACCGATGATTTCAAGTTGAGGCAGCTCTACGACCTCCATTTTGTTTCACAGATTAATTCACAAATTAAAATATATTCATGCAGCGTCTAGATCGATAAAATAATAAGTCAACATAGAAAGAGAAGAATTATTTTAACGAGGCTTAGGATAGACCTCACACGACTCACACATGGCCATATTTTGGTGGTCAGCCGACAACAATGTATCCCCAGTTGACAGTCCGTCTACTAGTAGACGGTGGTGCTTTAAAAATCCATAGAGAACGGTGTGGCCTACCCTCAAATG